ATTTGGTTCCCTAGCCTCTACATTCGAAAGGTCGCCAATGTTATTTTGGCTGATGGTACCCAGTTGCCCCTTAGGGACCTATAGAAGTAAAAGGTAATCACCTTTTGGCTGGATGACTCAAAATGGAGCAAAAAAAGGAAGTCAGAAAGGTCGATTCGCTTTGGGCAAGTATGTGTAGAGGGCGGACCCACCTGAGTTCCGGATGAAGCTCCTTGCAAGTGTGTGTGTGTGTGCTAGCAAACAGGGACTGGTCTCTCAAGGCAGACCACTCAATACGGAGAAGACAGTGAAAAGATCTTTGCAACCAGTTTGCAACAAGCCAACCGGAATTGAGGGATGTTTGCGGGAATCCAAACGGTTGCAACTCAGTGACCTCGGCAGAAAAAGCGGTTGCCAATGTTTTCAGGGTGGACGCCATGGCTGGTCATTCATGTTTGGCCCGACATGACCAACGAATAGCAGTTGCTTGGCCAATGCCAAAAGATCTGCTGGCTGACTTCTGGGATACTAGAATGCCTTCTGTCTGAGGGAAGCATGTTTAACACTGCCTTGTTGGCTCCATTTTGGGTGGCCGGACTGCCGAGTCCGGCAATCAAAGAAGACAGGTAGAACCGGAAGTCATGGCTTCGAAAGAAGCCCCCAAAGGTAACCAACCGTTTTTGACGGGTCCCCCAGGCGAACCCCCCCCTCCCCCCCCCTTTAAGTCAATCCCGAACAATGCCTGAATAAGTCCTTTTATTGGTGGTGTATTTTGTTGGAGGAAGGGTTTAGGGGAGTGCAGAAAAGGATCCTGAACTTTCATTTGCTTAAGCCCCCTAAGAAAAAAATATCTGTCAGTAGTGACAAATTCCCTTTGAAACCAACAAGAGAAAATACAACAGATTCACTTCAGCAAATGGAAGTGACAGGTCCACACCCACCTCCAATTCCTGAAGCCTTGGCTTCCGGCGTGCTCGGGAGGTCGGCCTGACAAGTGGAACCGGAACCCCTTCCTGAATGGTCCGGTTGGCCTTGTCTTGTTAAGACAGGTTTGGCATACCCCCCCCCCCAAAAAAAAACAAGGGGTGCTATCTTATACCATCTCGGTTGGGGGGGGGCTTCATATTGAACTTAGGTACCACAAAAGAGGACAACCCTGTTGTGGCAAAGGGTTTCTCAGGCTTGTGCATACGCCTTACAACCGGGTATTACATACCTGGCTTCACTCGAAGCCACAAGGAGAAGCAGGAGTTCCGAAGCCAACTTTCCCCTTTCCGCATCACCTCTCCAAAAAGCGATCAACTCAGAGACGACCTGGGACACCAATGGCTCTGCCACCATCTTGAGAACACACCTTGAGCAAGCCCGACAGCACCTTGACCAGCACCCTGCATCGCAAAACAAGCACCGCCAGCAACCCCACAGCATCTTAAGCACGCAAACAGCACCCCGACCAGCACCCGCAACAGCACCCTGACTGCATCGCAAAACACACTGCCTACAAGCACCACTGTACCTTGCATGCTTGTGGGTAACCCTTTCAGAAACTGTGACACCAGTGGACGCTTATGATGACAATGACGACTAGCTCAAACTATAGGAACCAGAAATGGGTGCTGTCCTGTTTTGCCGTCCCTCAAAACCAACTTCAACACAGCTATCATCAAAAAAACACATATGCACAGATCTGGTGAAGCGAGAACACCATCAGGTCAATCCCCTCTTGGCTCCCAGCGTATGGCGCCGCAACCCGAGGCCGGACTTGAGCACCGGTTTGCAGGGCGAAATCACGTGGCAAAACAGCGCGCGAGGGGAAACAAGTTTCCCTGCAGTTCACAAAACTTCTACCCCCTGCAGCCACCCAAAGTCATTTCGTGTTCTTTGGTCTTTTCTGTGTCTCTTCTTTTTTTTGGGGGGGTTGTGCGTTTAGGGTTCACCGCAGGAATGTGAATACGTCTCTGGCTGCCAACCTGGCTCGGGTAAAAAATGATGACTCCGCCAAGTTCAGCTCGGAAAAGCAAATTGCAAAACTCCACCAAATTGGTTTACGCTTCCTGCGACTAGCATGGCACCTGGGTCCCTTGAAGAGGAAATTGATCTTCGTAGTCATCCCATTTACTACTCACTCACAAGGACCCCCTTTTTCGGTTGAATTTGAAGGGAACCCCGCCAAAGAATTTTTGAACAAAGTAAAAGCCGTGTTGGAGATGTGCACTTTACAGGCGTGGTGGTTCCTTGAATCCAATGTGTTCTATCCTCACTCGCTGCAATGCCGACCCTCATTGATAACGTCCGGTTTCGCCAGGATTCCTTTGGGGAAGGCTCCACGTGTTTGGCCACTTGGAAAGAGAAGAAGTCTAGGCCTAGGAACCCGCATGCGTGGTGCCGGCAAGAAGAAGGTGGCCCTCTTTGGGCCCCGTGCAGAAAAAGACACCGCAGGGTAAGCATGTTTCTGGGTGGAAGTTTCAGGAGGTTTCCCTGAGAGGTTTCTCTCAACCCCAACCCGGGACACAAGAAAGACACACCGCCCAAATGAGCAGCGAAGAGTATGACCAGGGTATCAGTTGTTGGTCCCCTCTTGGTTAGGCAATATTGTCAGCACATGCTTTGAGGCGGTTTCCTTCCCCTCATGGTTACAATAGTTGAGGGAGGGGGTTGGGCCAGCAAGTGTTGAGTCAGCCTCTGGCGAATTCCAACTGGAGGAGCGCTGCATTTGCAAAGTTTAGGGCCTTGAACTGACGGATTTTGACTCAGCTTGGTGAATTCTAGACGAAGATCAAACCTGTGCTCAGTTCCTTGGCGCCCTAACCCGCTAATCGCCAGGTCAAAAGTTCGCAGCTGAGAAACGGATCACTTTTGCACCGAGTCCACATGCTCGGAGTGTTGAAAAAGCGAACCCTCCAAATGGTGATGTACATGCGGTTCCCCACCCAACATACTCTTTTTAGAACCCCCAGGTAGAAGGATACATTGAAAGGCCTTCACTTGGTTTCCATTTAACTTGCTGAAGTCCCCTGGAAAAATAGATTTCCAGTAGTGATAGATTCCCTTTAAACTTTAAACCAAGAGGAACACAATACAACACATCCGAAAGCAAATGAAAGTGGGATCTTCTAAATCTGGTATTTCTATGTATTTGGTCCTAGACACCCTTTAACTCCGCAAAATGCCTTGCTACTTGGGACTGGATCTTTTCGCGGCAGCGATTGGTTCTTGACCACCAGGGCCTTCCGCAGCCTGAGTCGCGAGTCGACAGTCCGAGAGTCCGAGCACGACCTGACATGACCTGACCATCTGCATCGTCGTCCCCTGGAAAAACAAATATTTGCAATTTAGGGTTTAGGGTGTAGGGTGATCCCCTTTGAAACCACTACGGGAGAACTACAAGCAAACTGCAGCAAATGAAAGCTGAGGAGAGACCACCCAGCCCCTATTAAAACACAATGTAACACAATGCTATATAGAGAGGTCAACATCACCCATATTGTAGAAGAAATGTAAAGGGGGACGCCTATTTTTGGCAAACACCCATTTGAGTGCCCGACAACATTACCACAAGAAACCGAGAAGGGAAGCAATCCACAAATCACAACCCCTCAATCCGCCCAAAAAAAACAACAACAAACAGTAGGACCCATACCGCGGCCATGCTCAACAGTTGCCAATTTACTCACTGAGTGGATGGGCCGACAAGATCCGATGTTGTTGTTTGCCACTAAAACGGTGTGCCCAACAAGTGCCTAAAGTCCAGGAACCCAAAGCGCAAGTATAAGGGTATATGCTCACACTTTGAGCTCTTCGTAAAACAATTCAAGACCCAACCCACCAGCCAAGGCATTGATTCTGTTATGCCAGGACAACCCTCCTTGGCCCCAAACCCTTCCGAAACCGACCTAAACAACCTAAAATTGGTCCTAAACCAAAATCCCGTCTGGGAACCCCGGATCAACCCCCTGGCTGATTTTTCGGGGCACCCTTTTGGTGCGGATGTGTCACGTTTGGAGGAGACCCCCCGCCTGCAAATAGGGTTGATTGATCTTGAGTCAACTTTAGCCAACAAAAATACCAGTGTCCACACTGGGAACAAAGATCGCACCCCAAACCCTTGCTGGTGCTCAGCAAGGAGTGAAAGAATGACACCTTTAGGGGGACCAAAGCCTGGGTTCATTCTATTTCTCATTCCTCATCGCACCAGCCATAGGTGTCCTTTTAGGGGAAATAGATGGCCCTGGTGGATGATTAAAGCACCAGGTAAACCAGGGCAATCTATTTTTCCTGCAAAACAACCAAAAAGGACACCTATGGCACCAGCAAGGTACCAATCCCGAACCAAATCCCCAAGACGAGACGCATCTCCGTCATGGCCGCCGGCACAGGCCAGGACACCTCCACGGGTCTGGCGTCGAGATCCTGGAAGTGAGGAGTTGGGTTACGCCATGTCACAGCCCGAAGCAACTAAAAGACTCGCTTTCCAAAAACAGAAGCCACATAAGCAACATGTAACTAAAAACTTAACAACATGTACAACAAATGAATCAACGTGATCAACTAACAAAAAGGAGTACCTAAAGCCACAACAAGTAGCAGTTCCAAGGTGTTCAAAGGCAATCCCTCTGCAGGCCTTCGGTTTTGGTCCACTTTCAGTCAGGGCCATCCAACAAATCAGCCATTCATTGAAATCAATCTTCTCACTGGCTGAGTGGATGGCCCAAAAAAGTCCAAACTTTATATTTACCACTAAAATGGTCTTCCCAAAAAGTTTAAAGTTCATGAACTCAGGAAGCGAGCCTTTGGTTTTCCAGTTGCGGACCTTTTGGCAACCGTTGACTCTGGGCCATTTGCGCTATCGACCGCTTGGTTTCTTCCAGTCCAAGTTGCACTTGCACTGGCCTTGGAAAACTGCAAAGGGGGGGTGCCAACAAAGCTTCGTGAAGGATACATCTCGGTTGCTTTTTGCGAAGCCCTGCCAAATTTGTTTTAACTTTTAGTGGTTTAATGGAAAACCTATTAATTGGCAAAATGTTGAAGTGCTAACATCCAAGCAAGATGCATCCGATATCTAAAACCACTTGCTTTGCCCGCAGGGTCCTCGAAATCATGGCAATTTCCAGAATGTCTCAAGCATGTCCTGCAAGTGACCCTATTTACCGAACTCGAAGGGCATAGAACCCATTTCATTTAGCAGTCAGTGATTTCAACTGGCCGAGTTGCGAACCCACTCTCCCATACACTAAGAAACCCTGGAATGATGATTCCCCTGTAAATGCCAACGTGCAATGGTTTCCCATGGTTTCAAGGTGGTGCAGACTGCCATCCATCCACCATGTCATTCTCACAGCATCCATCTTCGATTGCACTACTCCCGTTAGTTCCAAAACCCAAACCCAGTTCTAAGAAAGACATGCTCCCCCAAAGCTGTCCCCCAAAAAATTGAGAGCGCATGAAACCACAGAAAGGTCCCCCCCCCCCAAAAAAAAAAAAGAGTTCGGACTGCGCCCGAGGTAAGAAAAGACCGTGGCAAGCCTACTAAAGCTGAGCGAGCCTTGAGGCCATCGGTCTGGGTAAAAATGGGCATCACCCCCAAAAGAAATTGTTCTTCACCTCCTCCCTCGCAAATATATATATATATATAAATATATATATTATATATATAATAAGAGAACTCCCTCGGAAGACTGGTTGGGCGGACTGGTTGGGCGTATTTCCTTGCCACTTCCGAAGCGGCCCCTCCTGCTACTTCTCCCCAGCTGAAAGCAAAGCTTTCAAGGAAGGTTCCGGAAGGGTTCCGGAATTGGGGTTCCCACAGAGGGCTCGGGATATCACCTAATCTTTGTTTAGCTTTCTCAGGCGTGCTCACGGGAAAAGAAAAAAAAACAACAGCCCCCCAAAAAAAAAGGCCGGCCTGAAAGCTGAGCCGGTGCCGATGGAGCCAGTTGCTCTTGTAGAACTCCAGGTCCTTCCCCCAAGTCCTGCGATACGGAGCCAGCCCGCAGCGAAACCATGGCTGCCGTGGGGCCCCAAATTTTATGTCAGGACCATACGTGGCTCTTGGGAAAACGTTCATCCCACAAAGATGAAGGTTGAAGATCCAACCAAATACCGGCCAATATTTGCAATTCTGCAGTTGTTCAACTCCGCTGTTGACCGTTGACCCTGACCTTCGGCGCTTTGTTTGCTTAAAATAGTTGAGTATATCCGCGAAACAACACGTCCGTACAAATGTAACAAACAGCAAGCTACAAACAAACCGCGAGTTGAGCCGTGAACCTGTTGAAGCTGAGGAACGTAAGCACCAAGCACTCAGACATGCCAATAACCATCTGATTTTTTCCGCGCGCTGGAACTCCAAGGAGCGGCAAAAAGCAATTGACTCTTAGTTCTACTAACATGGTTGTAACATGTTGTGAAGGTAATGCGCTCTCATTCAATAAAACTTTCTTGTATCATGTCAAAACGCGGGACCCCAAAATGGGTGGCGTTCGTTTGCTTCTCCCTTAAAACCGCCCCCAAAACGGATAATGTCACCCCCATATCAATCAACCCCAGTTGGGGGTGTCCCTGGCTTTAATGTTGGACCCTCTTTACACCAACCCCCCCCCTCCAGGAGTGGAACCAATCAGCGGGGCCCTCTTTAAGCGCGATCCTGGGGGTCTGGGAGGGACAGTACTTACTTTAGTATTGCCGTCTTGCCAATTCTACTTTAGTATTGCCAAGGCTGGCTCTCAGCTTCCCAGGACTTACTTTAGTATTGCCAACGACCTTTTTGTTGAGCAACCCCCAAGCAGGTTAGACACCAAAGAGGACCCCAAAACAGTCGCATTAAAGAGGGTCAGGGCCCCTGGTGGGCACCCCCCTTTGCGTGACTGGTTGCCCGGACTTTTGTTTAAAGAAGTTATCTTAAATTTGATGGTTTGGTGGCCACTGGCAAAATTAACTTCCTAGATCCAAGGCCTTTACCCTTTGAGCTGGGAAGAGCTTGGTTAGGTGAACCGCCCTAAAAGTAAAAGGCACAGGCTTGAGTCTAATAATTTCAGCAACCCAAAAAACCGTACATTAAAAGAGGCTCAGGGCGCCTTGTGGGCAACACCCTTTGTGTGACTGGTTGCCCGCACTGTTTTGTAAGGAAGTTATCAGAAATTTGATGGTTTGGGGATCACTTCAAGAAATCCTGTTTGCCCGTATTTGTTTGCTCGTTTTTGTTGCTCGACTTCTTTGCCAAGTTTGTCTGGCCCATATTTTATCGAAGGCTTAGCCCCAGACAAGATCAGGAGAGTAAAAAAAGAGCCATTTGTTCTTTTCTTTGTTTTGGGTGGGGGGGGGGGAACAATTGCTGCAATTGAGGACCCCAAAACAGTCACAAGATCTTGAAATGCGAAAAACATGCTACAATAGAGGGGGCTATTAATAAAGGAAGTGTAACATCATTAGTTGGGACTTCCAAAAACAACCCCCGAACTAATAAATTGGGGTTGATTAGTGTGGGGTCCACATTACCCTCAAAGCACACACACACACACCACACACACACACACACCACACACAAAACACACACAACACGCACAACACACACAACACACACAAAACACACACAACACGCACAACACACACACACACACACGCAACACACACACACACACACACACGCGCAAAAAACAAAACAACACATCTCAGACTGGAGCACCGGGTCCCCGGGTCCCGGCGCTTTGGTAGACCTGGTCGCTGACCACGGGATGGCCCAGGTGAGCCAGGTGACTACGAATCTGGTGCTTCCGGCCGGTGCTCAGGCGCAAAGACCTCGGAAACCAAGGAAAAGTCTTGTGGGCCAACAAGGGAACGAGCAGATTGGCCCAAGTAACCAAATTTTTGGGGCAAGCCTCTAAAATGGTCCGAACCCAAAAAGTAGACAGTCCAGAAGAGGGGATGCGTAAAACCACCTCACAAGGGAAGGATGTTGTGACCTCCGCTTTCGGTGGTTCCCGGGCGAACCATGTAAAACTGAGGAAGACAAGTGGTTGCCTACAGCTCAGCTCCTGACTGGCCAACAACCAACAACAGAATCCGGAAGTTGTTGTTTGCCACTAAAATGACCTTCCATAAGCTCAGGCATGGAGATCGGCGACTTCATTCTTTTGTCGGTGGGTGATGAGCATTTGCCACGCCCCCCATGATCCGCTAGGCAAACCAATTAATGCATGATCAGGGGTGTAATGGGTGGTCAGGTGGTCAATGGTCGGATGAGAACTGATTTGGCCCTCCTGCTCACTGAGCGCATCGTGAATCTTCAAGACCTTGAATCAAAGCAGCACATCCGGCAAGAATGACCGGCTCTTTCAGACGCAAGTCCAGATCGTTTCTGGCCCAAATGATTGAAGTTGTCTAAATGCCAAACGCCAAAAACACATGACTCGCATTTGAGCGCTGACACCTACGCTTGAACCTCAGCAAACCTCTGATGTTGGTAGTTGACTTCGGACTGGTTGGGCCGCTTTGAAAGCCCAACACAAACACCACGCCCTTCACAACTTAGGCCGCCCCCGTCCACAAAACGGGGTGTGTTGTCTTGTTTGAGGATACTTTTTTGTGTTTTAATTAACACTGCGTTGTTGTGTTATTCTCGGAAGAAAAGCAACGGCAACTTGTAATGGGAAACGTGTGGCTTCCTTTATGCTAGGTCCTCCAGATTTGAGAGGCTTGAACTTTTGGGTACCAACTTTGTTCTGTAGCCTATTTTGGTAGAAGGGTAACAAGTCATCTAGCTGGGAGACCTAGCCTGTCAGAGAAGCAAAGCGGAAAACCGACCCCGAGTTTGGGTGAGGCGCAAAGAGCTCAGCGCGCCCAGCGGGTGCTGCAGGTGCCTGGCCCACTGGCGCTTCCGGTTGGGTCTGATCTTGCCCCCTAAGCGCATACCCTGTGGATCCCGGTTACCCTTCTAGTAACCCTGTTGTTGAAGGGTGTTTTGGAAGGTGTCTTTTGCATTCTTCTGTGTTTCCTCTTGTGTTTGAAGGGTGCTTTTTGGTGCCCTAGTGTACAGGTAAATGGATCCGCTGGGATACGCAATTGTTGGACCAACTGAAGGTGAAATTCCATTTCTTCCATTTGCTTAAGCCCCCCGGGGCTTAAAAACAAGCCATATTTTCTGTAGTGAGACATTCCCTTTAAAACCAACGAGGGAAAATAACAAACAAATCTTAAGCACATGGCGATGGGGTGAGTTCAGGGAGAAAACCACGTCCACCATGTGCCATTTTGGCAACTTGAGCAGCTGGTTCCCAGTTCATGGCTTTCATCTACCCAGGGCTTCGCCTTCTTTCGTCCTGTCTCGTTCGTTTTGAGGGGGTTCTGTTTAAAGGTTGGTTTAGAAGGCAACCAAACGGGTGTCACGCACCCATGTACGTTGCAGGCGGTTGCAGGAGGTTGCAGCCGGGTTCAGGACTTCTGGGTGTGTCGCCTTTGTTCCCCCTGCTGCGATTAAAACCAACCCAGGGGGTGCCCCAAACAAGACAGATCATGCCAAGAATGGCGGATCGTTCCCGGCCAACCTGATGTCCAGCTATGATTGGCAAACTTCCGCTGAAAAAAGCTGAGCAAGGTTGGCTTCAAGGGAGGCCATGTTCTCGATACCTAGTCTAAGCTCACTTCCTGCGTGGATGGGCCAAAACAAGTTCAAACTTGTTGAATGGTCTTCCCAAAAAGTGGCAAACATCCAAGGACTCAGGAAGTGAGTAAGACCACTTGCTGGTTCTGAGCAGGGAATGACAATTGGAATGCCCAAGCAAAACCCTCCATCCCATGGTTTCCTTTCTCGGGAATCCCGAAACAGCTCACCCCGTCATTCCCTGCCTATGGCACCAGTGAGACTAGGTCCTCCAGTAGAGAGGTTAGAATATGGGTACCCTTTTTTCTGTAGTCTATTTTAGGGAACCCTCCAACTCACTTGCTGAGTGGATGGCCAAAAAAAAAGTCCAAACTTTGTTTTACCACCAAAATGGTCTTCCCAAAAAGTTTAAAGTTCATGAACTCAGGAAGTGAGCCAAACCAAAAGGGTGAGAAAGGGCACTACTGGGGGACCCCTGAGACAAACCCAGGGTCCCTCTGGGCTCCCGCGCTTGTGCAGCCACAGCCAGGTGCAGCTGGCGCGGCCCCGGCCGCCGCTGACCGCGCGCTGCGCGCCGTGCCAAAAGATCCGCGCTCTGAGCGGCCGCCAGCGCCCCACGGGGCCCTGGGCATGGTTCCAGTGGAGATATGGGTGCTTATTCTTCCTTTTTGTTTGGGTATTTTTCTTCTTTTGTTTTTTTGGGGGGGGAGTTGCTTCTGTTTCTTCTTGTTGTTTCTTATTTTTGTTTGTTTGTTTGTTGTGTTTTTTTTTGGGGGGGGGTCCCAGTTTTTGTGGTTATTTTAAGGGACCCCAAAAGGAACATCACCATTTTGGGGGGGACCCGCAACAAAAATACAGGCTTTTGGTAAATGATTGTCTTATCTGCGTGGCTCGTCTTTTTGGGAGTTGGTACCCTTGCTGGATGGTTCAAAGGGAAACCACAAGGAAGACCGAAGCCATTTTGTTTTTGTTGGGTACACCCATCTATAGTCTCAGGGCAAAATTCGACCTTTTGACCAAAGTTGGTTTTCCCACTTTGGTCCATGTTGAGTCAAGGAACCAACAGGATAACCTGTGACTTTCTGGTCAGCAAGTGAGTAGCTGTAACTGGAGGCCTGGCGCACTTGTTTCTGAGAACCGGCTTTTGTTGAAAGGTGGCCAGGGCAACTTGCGGTTCGTTATCCCAATGTTGTGTTTCCGACTCATTGGTCACAATTGCCATTTCTTACCCCTTAAAACTCCAAGGATTGGGGAAGTTAACCTTTTACAGACATATAGCCCATGTTACCCAACAAGTTGAGAAAAGTTTTGTTTTTAAGAGGCAAGAAGAAGGGGCTCACTCATTTCCCTGGCCCGGCCTTGCAGCCGCGAAATCAAAAATCCCACCAGACTGGATCCCCCGTTTGGTCACTGAATTCTCTTATGCAAGCGCAACCCTGGTGTAACACCAAACTGACTTGTCCTAAGGGCCCTACACCAAACAAGGGTAACACGTTTGCCAGATTCAGCATATGTTTTCCATTGTGTTGCTCACAACCAATCCTTCATCCTCATGCCAAATAGGAGTTGGTCTCCTCGTTGTTCCAATTCGGACTACGTTTGTGGGTCCAAAGGCCCCCCCCCCCCCCAAATTTTTCAGGGGCCCTACAGCCCCTACTCCCCCTCAACTGGTAGCGCCCGCTTTAGGCATCGTATCCCAGACTTGGGGCGGCAGGGTCCAGAATTTTGGACGTGGGAGATAAACGCACACCAGCTGTTTGGGGTCATGATCCCTGAATGAGAACCCATATCATCAGCGGTACCAAGGCTCATCTTTCACATGCGTGTTTCTCAAAAACATGAAACGGTCCCCTAAAACGGTTCGTTGCCCTTCCCTTCTGTTTCACTTCAACACCGCCTGAAAGAAAAAAACAAACTCAAACCAGCTCATACCCCTGTGGGCCCCCGATTCCAGCGCAAACCTGCAGAAGCCAAGTGCTTGAGTCCTGTGTTGGGACCCGCGGGTGCGTCGTGTCTAAGGGGTTGGGCCTGGCCGGCCTTAAATGGCGGCTTTCGTGGGGGTGTTCCTTGAAAACCCACCGAAAAAGGGCACGCAAAAAGGCAGAAGAGACTCACAGAAAACCAGCGGCGGAAGAGGTCAATGCAACTAGGAAGTTCGAAGCTCGAGTTGGCGCTTGCTTTCGGCCGATTTTCGCAGTTGGGCACTCGAGATAGGACATCAAAACTGGCGTGGAATTTATGCCTTACTTTGTGATGGAGGGTTCCCTTGGCATTGCAAACAATTCTGCCAAAACCAAGTGGGCATGGATCAAAATTGAAGCACCAGGGGCCCACAGGTTTTGGTCCTTGTTTTGAATTAGTAGGGTTCTATTTTGGGACTTCTTGTTGACCCACACCCAAGTTGTCCACAACCATTCTGGAAAGAGCCGACCGACTTGTGGCCGCGACTAAGATTTTGATGGTTCAGGTGGCTTGATGGCTATTGCTAGAGCGCAACTTCTCTCTTGCTGGTTGGCGGGAAGCGACGTTGTCTGAAAAGGTTGAAGGAGATAAAGGTACCCCATCAAACAGCAGCCAAGGCGAGGTGCATAAGACCGACCGCCCCAAATGCGCTTCTCGTCTTTGACTTCCCTCGAAACCCGCCAAAACAAAGCGGGCACCCTCAAAACAAGGCACGATGAAAAGGTGCCCCATAGAGACGGGGGCCTTTGCTCTGAAGCGGGCTCTAAATCCTTCATGATTGGGAACCCGAAACCCCCCGGAGAAAAAAACAGGAAACACGAGAAAAAACGGCTTCGGTTCTCCTGGTGCCCCTTCAAAACCACCAAGGGCTTCTCCCAAAAAGGGAGGCGCGCGTCTCTCCAACGCCGTGGAATCACCGCCCGCAGCACCGCCCTCCGCCTAGGCGCCGTCTCCGTCTCCCGCCGAGTGGCCTGGGCCACCCAGCCGTGGCAGAGCGCCGTGTAGCCGCGCTCCACGAGGCCGGCGTGGAGCTGCGCCTGCGCCATGGCCGTGGATCCAGCCCGGATGCCACTCGGGTCGTGCAAATGACTCAGTGGACCCCACTGGGGTCAACATAGGACGGCTTCCCTTTTGTGGCAGACACACCCACACTGGATCCACCCATTTGGCACTGGATGGTTTCCAATGGATTGATCAGTCATGGTGATATCATGTCAACATTGGATGGTTTCCACAGGCTCAGTGGATCCCACCACGCGGGTCCACATTGGATGGTTTCCCTTTGCAGATGAACCCAATTCCCAGCATTTGGGGGATGGATGGTCTACGAAGAACTCGTTTACGAAAAAAAAACATGTGTCATAGCTAGCCCGCCTTAAAGTATACAGTCATGTTCGAAGAAACCCCACGGGGTGAGAGGTTGCATTCTTCACTCACTGTGCATTCCACCAACCCGGTTGCTTCCCCGGTTGAGGGGCCAACCCATTTTCGGAGCTGGCTTCTTGACTGGAAAGCCAAGTTAAGCTGGGGCCTCTGAGAAAGAAGAACAATTGTCCACTCATGTCCACCCCTTTTGGCTTCTTATTGGTGATGCATCAAACCATGTGCCACTGGCACCTTCAACAATGACCTCGCCCTAAGCACCCAGAATTAGACACGTTTAAACGAGGGGATGGCCCAGCCTATTCCTTGAACCTGCCATCTTTATAGCTAGGTCTTCCAGTAGAGAGGTTAGACATTTGGGTACCAACATTTTTCTGTTTCGTGAATTTTAGTAGGTACCCGTCTCAACCAAAAAAGTTTGTGAGAAGGGCACCTAGCTGGGGGACCTAGAAATGACCTCGCCCTAACCAAAATTAGGCGTGTGTAAATGAGCCACATTCCTTGAACCTGCCATCTTCATAGGATTTGATAAGAAAGAAAAAAAACAAGTGGCCCAACAGCCTGGAGGTCGTAGAAGGCTTCGTAGCTCTTGGCCAGTACCAGCAGCCCCGAGCTCGGCACGTCCAGTCGGTGCATCCACCCCTGCCTCGGACGTTTGCGGCTGTCCATCTGCTCAGCTCAGTGGAGATGCGTGGGAAAAAGGGCACTCTTTTTTGGATGGTTGACTTTAAAAAAATCGGAACCCAAATTCCCCCCCCCCCCCCCAAAAAAAAAAGGGCGTCCACTAAGCACCCCAAAGGGATTTATTCAAAGGGATGTCCATGTTGTTTGCGTGTTTTTTCTCGTTCGGTTGGTTGAGTTTAAAGGAATCGGAACCCAAATCCCAAAAGCAAGAACAAGGGGCGGAATCCACTGGGCAACTGGGTCTGGGTTTAAGTCTTGGCTGTTTTGCTCAGCCATGTTTGTCTCTTCCAGTATGTTTGATTGCTTCCTTCGCCAAATGTCTTCCAGTCCTCCCTTGACGTTCTGCGTACTTGCCCCTTAGAGACCTGGAAATTAAAGCTGGTCACCTTTTGGGACCTTTACTAAACATAGTCCAAACTGGGAAAACCAAAAGGTCATTTCAGGTCGATTCGCTTTGCAAATAAGCTCTTGCGCCAGTTCCAGCTTGCGCGCTCGTCATGGGCTCCACTGGGTGTATGCACTTCGACCAGTTGCAACGGTTGCACCCCAAAGCCGTTGAGAAAACCATGTGCAGAACCTAGACCTCCACTGAGACGAAAAGCTCCCTGCTTGGTGCTTGAAGATAGAGGGAAACCACTCCCAAGGACAACCAGGCAACTGCCCCTGTAGAGAGGGGCGCGTCATTCGGTGCAGGAAGCGGAAACCCAAACCAGATGTTCCACGACTGCCCAGCCCCGAAAATGTAGACAGCCAACAAACCCACAAAACTAAAACAGACATGGGGTCCAAAGAAAGGGGAAGTGGACCCCGTTAAGGAGGAGATGAAGACAAAGACAGAAAGAAGGATAGAAGTCAAGGAATGGAGAACGCAAGAAAGACAGAACGAAACAAGAAATAAATAAACACAGAAAAGCAATAAAGAACGACGAACAACAAGTACAATACATGGATAAACCAATAAATTAAATAGCCACATAAATAAATCAATAAAGACTAAACTACAGCACACATATACCATAAAATTAAAAAAGCAACAAATAAAGAACACATAAAGAAAGAGCGAACAAATATAATACGTAATTCCATCAAGAAAAAGCCAGCAAAGAAATACGCAAAGAAAAAGCGAAGAACCAAAGAACCAAGAACAACATGACCCAAGAAACAAAGAGGCAAACTAATCAAAGAACAAACAAGCAAGCAAGAACGGCTGAAAGACACAAACACATAAAGAAATCAAGAAAGCACAATGAGACATAAACCTTAAATTGAGAACGTACTGCGCAACATACCCTTAAATAAAGACCAAAAAAGGAAAGATTGATATGAAACAAACACAGAAAAACAGAAACAAACGAAATACACATCGTAAAGAATCACAGACACATACACAGAAACACAGAAACAAAGAAATAAACACAGAAAGACACAAAGAAATAAATAAAACAACAACAAATAAATGAACTAATTAATAAATAATGAACAATATAGAAACAGATAGATACATAAAAAATAAAGAAATACAGAACAAACATGAAACAACACATGAATAATAGAGCAAGCGATGAAAGGACTGACCAATAAACAAGCACAACAAAAAAACACACAACACAACAAAGAAAGAAACAAATAAAAAAGGCAAACTAACAACAGCAACACAACTAACAAAGAAAGAGAGAACACAAACAGAACGAACGAACAATCTAAACACGTGCAACATAGACAAACAACAAAACAAATCAAGATAAGCATCACACAACGACACAATCACATCACGAAACAAAGATACGCGTATAATAATGCATAACGCCACATATAGATAACTGCATGTACAAAGAAGGAAACAAATAGATACAACAATACGTAAAGAACACAAACAAGCAACACAACAAACAAACAACGAAACAAAACAACGCAACACGCAAACAAACAAACAAACAAACAAACAAACCAAACAAACCAAACAAACAAACAAACCAAACCAAACCCAAACAAAACAACACAAAGGAACCCAAAGTCCATGAATCACACCAACAAAACAAACAAAACAACCAAGACACACAAGACACACAAAAAAACAAACACACACACACAAACAAGCCAAAAGGCAATGAATCAAACCAACAAAACAAACGAAACCGACAAGTCAAGCTATGCCAAGACGGGCGAGGACGTGCGATCGAGCTGCCGGTGGTTGAGGTCCTGGAAGATCCGGCGCTGGCCCCAGCAGGTCTTGGCGAGGTCCGCCAACTGCCGGGGGCTATGGCCGCCGTAAACCTCCCAGCCGCAAGCCTCAGCTGGAACTCTGTTCAGTGACCCTACAGGGATCCTTACCTTATACACCTGAACATTGCCTTGTAATTTGGTGGTTTCCCTTTATTTTGGTGGAAAAGGCCACGTTTCAATTGGGCAAAATGTATCTTTCAAGGAGCCCTGCCCTAGAAGGGTACCTTCCCCATTCTTTCCAGGGATCCTTCTTTCTAACCTCCGGAAACCCAGGGAGAACGGCCGGTTTTTGGAAACAACAATGGTTGACATGGTCTGGGTCCTCCAGTAGAAAGGATAGAATAAGGGTACCCTTTGTGCGGTTTTGTCTATTTTAGTAGAAGAACCCTCCCCCAAAAAAGGTTAAAAGGGCACTACTGGGGGACCTACCCTTTTTGGGGAAGACCATCTTTAGTGGGGCCACACAAAAAAGAGGAAAACGGGTGCCACTGAACAACTGAGGGAATGCCATGGAATGACGACCTGTTCTGGTCTCTAGCACCCCCGCAAAATACTACACATAGGTCCAAAAACATGTTGAACAACCAGGTGGTGTAAAGCCTAGGGAGGGAAATCGGTTAGCTATCAGCGTCCCTCTGACTGGTTGTTTGGAGACCGCTGGTTTGGTAGGTTCCCAGTTGCGTTCTACATGAATCAGGGGTTCAAAACCCCGAACCACTAATACAAGCCACGGGATTCGGGGTAACATGAGACTGAGTCATGGCAATGGAACAACTCCTCAGGCTACTTAGCCTGCTTTGTTAGTGAAGCCCCCCATGCCCCATACATTCTGGGCGCCTGCATCAAGAGCATTTTCAAGCATGGGCTTTGGAGGTATTAATTGAGGTTGTGCACAAGCTGCAAAAGCCGCATACAACGCCTTACGAGCTTATACTGGTGGCACCTAAGCCTCCATACCTCCGAACCCCATACCTGAGAATGCCCTTGATAGTGCAACAAGTAGAACTACAGGACCTCTGTGATTCGCAACCTTAAGCCCGTCCGGTCGACTCCCGCGTTTTCAGGACCTGGGAAGAGGATCGGCTTTTGGCGCTCGGCTTTCACTGGAATGGGCAAATCAATACCTCAGCTTCCCAAAGCTACCCTCCTTACTAACAGAGCCCCGGGGAGGGCCCCTGGAAGATCATTTCTTGTGAACCCCTGTCAGGTGCCATGTTGGTGAGGGTATCACATATGGACGGTCATTGGCCAGTATCGAAACCAGGCTCCAGTTGCTTGCACGTAAGTTGGAACGGGCAAACATGTGTTAGGTATCTGCTGACGTGAGGCCAACAAGCTGAACCTCCCGGAAAAGAGCGACAAAGCAAGAGTAATCAAGCTGAAGTGCACTTGCCCCGTCGAACCCCCCCCACCGATATTGGGGAGGCAACAAAACAGGAGGCAAACACCGCGTCAACGCAGGTCGGCTCTGGTTGCACAATGGTGCAAGTCGGTAAGCTAGTCAAACCTGCAGGATCCCTGGTCCTCCTCTGCAATCCGTGGTGGGGTGACCACAAGGGAAACCACTATCAGGCAAAGATTGAGGGTTGACTTGGAACAACCCAGGCAAAGCCGCTAGGGCAACCAATTTGCACACGCTAAAGAAATTCCGAAAACTGTATTACGGGATGCCTAAGTAAGGGACCTACATTGTGAGCTCGCCATGAAGATGTGTGCTTCTCAAAACGGTGACCCCCTCAATGGGTCGGTTGTCTTTTTTGCTTCCCTTTAAACACCAAGCAACAAGGGGGTCGACCACTTTGAGGAACACTCAGATGGGTGTCTGGTTGATTTTGTTTCTCTTTTGCACACTCCCGAATAAAAACCAAGTGAGCCAGCCTTGCGGACCACCGCCATGTGGGGCGTGTCCACTGAAACGCCTGGCGCTGCAGGAACGAGCCGAAACCAAGGAGGCTTCCCCGAAAGGCTTGGCCAGGGCCTCGAGAGGAATCCTTGGGGTCTAGATGCCTCTCAAAAAATGGGCCGCCCCTGACACCCCCTGGTAACGGGGTTAAACCATGGCAGATATACCGATTGTTTTTGGATGGGCCCACCACTGTTTGGGGCATAGTGTTACCACGTTGTAGCTCCCTAGGCTCCCTCTTAGGCAGATTTTGGGATTCCCCCAGCTCCATAGCTCACACGTCCTGAGTGGATGGCCCCAAACAAGTCGAAACTTTCCATTTACACACGAAAATGGTCAAATCCCAAAGGGTATAAAGTGCAGGAACTCAGGGAGTGAGGCTCCTTGCCCAGCGCCGAGCCTTCCATAGCGAGCGCCTGCGTCGCCGCTTCTCCGGCCACGGCGTCTTTGGCGGCGCCCACGCGGCGCAGCAGGGCCAAGGACGTGGCAAAGACACGGCGGGGGAGGCAGTCGGCCAGGGCGCAGGAGAACCTCGGGGTCTAAGGTACCCTTCCTCCAACTAACATGGCACCTGTGGGGAGGTACCTGGAAGATTCATTTCCTTTTGAAGGGAGCCCCTGTGAGTTGCTATGTTTGTTGGAGGGAGGGAAACTAGGGGCCCATGTTTGGCCCATAACATCCCATGCCAAGCATGAACGGGTGAGTACTCGTGATGTTGAAGGGAATTGGGGTCTTTGCTGGCCCTTTTGACCGTCAAAGTCGCCCACTAAGTGATTTCAAAAGGGAAACACCCCAAGCTGCCGACTTTGATAACCCAAAACACTCAACATAATGACAAACTTTCTCAGCTTCCCTCTGATTGGTGGTTGGTGGTTTAAAACCACCAATTGGGGGATACCTGGTTCAACGTGGGTTGAGTATTCCTGGCTCTCCCGAAATGTCGAGGGACCCAGTCCCGAACGGCCAAACAATTGGAGGCCTGGCTCAGTCGACCATTTCGAGGAGACGAACAAAGTAAGAAGGGCTGCAGGCCTACTTGCTGGCCCCCTTTTATATCCCAAAAAGGGTCCCTCAAAAACAAAACACACCCACATTCTTCAGCAAATGCAAGGGTTTGTCAGTCATAGTTCCTCCGTCTCGGCTCCTTTCTTTAAGGCCTAAAAGGGGCGACGCCTCGAAACATATCCGCCCGGTGTTCCTGGGTCGACCACAACGCCCCCAAAGCACCTGGAAGTGAAAGGTTCACCTCTGGTTCATTGGTGGGAGGGTAAACCAACCAGTCCAAAGATCGATTCGGCTTGGAACAGTGACAACTTCTTCTTTTTCTCGGAAGCGCGCCATGCCCAGGTGGCAAGTCTGGCTGCCTCTCAGGACAGAAACCGCCCTTTGGGGCACCTTCATTCCCTTCGGAAGTCGTTTTTGGGTTGCAACAACTGCAAACCCGAACTTGAACTCCAGCTTTCGCCCAAAACGACGTGAAACCTGAAAGGGCCCCTCATGGAAGACAACTCCACGAACAGCGACCTTCTTTACGGTCCGTTATTGTATCAGAGGGGAATCAATCAGTGGGTCCTTTTTGGTCGGGACTCCTTTTATCGATGTGGAGATTACTCGAATTTCAAGTTCCAAATGTCTATATCGTACGCTTCCAATTGTGCTGTGATCATTCGTTTCGGAGAAAACTTACAAAAACCAGGGAACCTGAGTGGTTTCAAGAGAGAACGATGGGTGAAAAGAATGGAAAGAGGAATAAACCCTTAGAGTTTTAGTTCCTTCGGCAGCTGCGGCTGACGTGTGGCCCCCTGGGTAAATATGAAGGGACGCACAAGTGTAACTAAAAAAAAAAAACATCTCAGCGGGGTTTGCTCGCTTCAGGCGCAAACCCCGTCAGTGGCCAAACGATATATGAACCAAAAGGAAAAAGCATGGCGCGGCATTGGGCAGGGCAACACGTAGGACGTGGAAATAACAGGTTAGCCTCACGCCTCACAATTAACCTGACTTGAGGGTCTGGAAGTCAACTTTTCAACAGCACCCTCTGCTGTCGCAAGTTGGTGGGGTAAACATTTTTGGATACTTGACAGGCGCATTCGGGCAAAAAAAGCCTAGGGTTTCTGCAAGAGGACCCCTTCCGAGACACCAGGTTCCATTAGGATCATGGGGTTTCTATAGTTTAAACAAGTGACCTTGCTTTTATTTCTCAAAAAAATGGTTCGGAACGCAAGGCCCAGGAACCGCACTTTAAGCCTTTTTTTGTTCTCTCGCTGCTCTCGCGAATGTGAGGCACTCAGAAAAATCGTCGCACTTTTCCCCAACAAAAGCCTTGCCCCTTAGGGACGTTCTACGTGCTTCCCTTGCTTCCTCTTTTCCCTTGCTTCCCTTGACGTTCTACGTGCTTGCCCCTTTGGGACCTGGAAAGAAAAGGTGATCACCTTTTGGGACCTTGACTAAAATTGGATCCAAATGGGAAACCAGCAGGTCATTTCAGGTCGAAAGCGAATCGGGCCCGTGAAAACAAGGAGTTGGAGTTGGATTGGCCGTAAGGGTCCAGGTCAACCATGCGCCCGAAGCCTCACATCACTTTCGCTTCGACTTGTTGCTTGGTGATAAACCATCCAGCCTGATGTCCTGTCGGTCAAAGGCACTCCATGGTTGAAATGCCCGTTTTGGTGTTTTCCTATGAGGACTTCCCTTTCCAACATCTACCCTTCAGGGATATTAGGGGAAATGGGACATGGTTGGCGACAAAGTACCTCAGCCTCCACCAACACGAACATGTGGCTGACAGTCGCCATTATTTTGTGTGACCGTGCTAACATGGAGGGTGTCAAAAGCTTGATTGCTGTTGAACCCTCTGCAATGTGTTCAATGGAAAACCCTTGAATTCCCAAAAGGTTAAAGTTTAAAGATCCAACCCAATAGCCATGAATACTAAAATATGGTTCAATGTTAGACTGTTAGACGCTGCCCCAAAGGTTCGCCGCCTTTTGAAGGGGGATCTTTTCAGGTGTCCTTTCGCTTGAAACTAGATGGCTCGGGGATTGCTTCAAGCCCGCAAACTCTTCCAACCAAGCCACCAAAATCACCAAAAGGGAGACCTCTTTTTTCGACTTCGCGGGTGAATTCCCAGATTCTCTTCGCCAGGGAGCAAGACTCCCAACAGCTTCAGCCCCTGCCGGTCAAAGGCGAGCTGCTCCTCAACGCGGGGGAAGCCTTTGGTATCTGATTTTTCAGGCGGCACAAGGCATTAGGCTACAAAAAGGGCCAGTCCCTTTTTTAATTAAGACTGCAAGGGGGATCTGGCCAGCAAAAAACTGTTGAGTTCACTGGCCAGGATAAAGGGACCAATAGTTTTGGGCCCTGACATGAAGAAACTTACCAAGATGGAAGTGCGCTGGCGCAACAGGCAAGCTTATGCGTAACTGGCCACGACTCATCTTGACCGTGGCTGGTGTGTCTAGGTCAACCCCCTTGGGTTCTTTAGGACTTTGCCCGAGCGAGCCCGCCCTTAAAATCGCAAGTCTATGGCATATGTCTGCCGGCATCCGGCGCGACATGGCGACTCTTCGGGTCTCCAGGTGGGTCTTCGCCATCAAGTTGGCCAAACGTTCAGCTTGGGAGGCCACAGCCTCCAAAAACTCCGCGTTCGCCTGAGACTTGGCCAGGCTGATTGGTTGCATTGAAAGAAAGCCAATGTCCTTACTGTAGTGGATAGCCCTGGCCCCAAACAAGTCTAGACAAGAGGGTAAAAGGGCCATGTCGTCAATGTAAAACCCAAAGATGGGGTCATACCAGGCTTGGACTCTTAGCTATGTAACCCTTATTTCTTTTTCGGGGAACCGATCTGGCGGCTGTGAATCTCCATGCTGTCAGGAGGAACATGTAACCCCCGCCCCCCGCCCACCAGAAAAGGCTCAAGACTCTTCCTTTGATCAGAAGGTTCTATCCCTATGGAAAGCTTAAAAGGTGCTTAGCAGGCATCTGTTTGTAAGATGAGGCAGCTGCGTCCACGTCTTATGGTTTGGTGGGCTTACCTGCTAAGTTCCAGCAGGAAAATCAATGGCCCCATTGAAACCAAGAGGTTTCATGAGGTTTCAAATGTTGATTGCTCCAAGGAACACCGAAAGCCAGTTCTTCCAATCCGCCCCCATACTCAAAACCTGGTTCTCATCAAAGACTGAATGTATAAACCCTCAAAGAAACCCAACCATCAACTCTGTGGCTATACGCTCTGAGATATGGCTGAACCTTTTGCTTAGCGCGAAAACACGCAAAAAGGCAAACCCACTACACAAACATCTGGGAAACATCTGGGAAAGTAGACTTCAACAAAAAGTGTGCCACTTCAGAAGATGTGCATCTGCAGCGCCGGCCAACATCACCAGCTGGTCCATGTCGAGATCCTTACTTGCAACATGCCGCAAAACAGCACGGAACTTGTGTGGTGATGGTTTTTAGGTTGATTCTTCACAAACAGCTCAAACAGGAAACCATCTACTACAACAGGATCCCAACAGGTCAAACATAGCTTGAATCGAAAAGGACCCCCCATTCCCCTTGGGCACGGTTCCCAGCACAAACACCTGACACCTGACAAGGGGGTCCAAATCAGCCGGACAATGTGATGTTCTTGAACATGACCAAAACGTTGCTGAGCTTAAACTATAAACTAAAAACAAAGGAACCTCTAGTACTGGGTCCCTGAAAGGCTGCGTGTCGAGGGCTTAAACAAAATTGGGGTTGGCAGTCTTAACCAAAAAACATACATTTGCAGAGTGATTCAGAAGGCACCACTGGCTGCATCTGAAGGTCCGCAATTTTCCGGACAGCCATGGCCCGGAAGGCGGCGTGATGCCAATTCTGGGCTCCCAGCATGGCAGTCGCATACCTAGGCTGGGCATCACTCGTCGTGGACAAGCCGCGGTGTAGCCCATGTCGTCGCCCGTAATTTGTGGTGTGGATTGATGGTTTGGGGATTTGAGGTTTTTGTACGGGGCACAGGGAAAACCACCCGGAACACCACCAAACCACCAATTCGGCTGTGACCCCCTTTTGGTCGCCTACTGGTTCGTGGGTCCAAACAACAGCCAACCGCGGTGGTTGCATTCCGCCACGGTTCAATCAAAGAGACTAAGAAGGAACCACTTTTGCTCGATCACCTTTGTTTGATTGGCGCGGAGTGCAGGAAGTGAGTATGAAATGTGCTTTGCTCCCCAAAGGCGACCCATACGAAATTGGCTGTTCAAACTGGGATGCCGAAAAGGGAAGCCTGCATGAAGCTTCCCAAACGGAGCCCTTCTTGAAATACGGCCAACATGGGATCCCTTCCGCACACCAAAGAAGCAGGATTAAAAAAAAAAAAACTTGTAAAACCACCAGGTACTGGGCCCTCTTCAACACATGTTGAAACAAAGGAATTGCGCCACTCCAAATTGGTTTCCACCAATGGTGTCCTCCCGTCTGCTACACACATAATTGTCGCCAAAGGGCGTTTAAAGAACCCTGCGAAACCCAGGCCGTCACTGGATGTCACATGGGAAAAGACATGAGTTGGCACTCTTTTTTTGGTAGTTGGTCTTCTCACTTGCCCCTTAGAGACCTGGGTTCCTAAAAGCTGATCACCTCTTGGGCTCTTGACTACGCAACGCAGGGCCTTGGGCAGAGAAACCCAAAGGCCAAAAGGTCAGCTTGGGGCAAGGGAGCCCTCTGAAGGGAAACCCGCTCAGGAAAAAGGCGATGGAGGTCTCGGCTGGCCGCGTGACCAACCACTGGGTTAAACCCACGTTCGATTGAGTGGATTGGCCAAACACAGTGTGAACATGTACTTGCCGCTAAACTGGTCCAAACCCAAAGCCCAAATCGTCAAAAAGTGTCGACCCCTGAATCAATTCCCCACTTGTTATCAAGAGCGTCCCCTGATACATATGTACCTGCCTGCTCACTTCCGATCGAGTTGGCCAAACCAAGTCTAAACCTCTTGTTTACCACCCAAAAAAACAAACCAAAAAAGTCGAAAAGCGACTACAGTACACAAACCCATGGGTTGAGCCAACAAACGGCTGCCTCGCTTTCAGCCGAAAGGGAAGTCAACGCCCAAGCCGCAGAAACAGCGCCGCGGCCTCCGGCGCGGCCGAGGCCGCAGTCGCGGCCTCTACGCAGGCTTTGTGGATCACCAGCGCCTGCGGAGCTGAAACCCATCAATCCCCTCGGAAAAGAGCCGCCTTTTATATATCCAAGAAGCAAAAAAGCTGGAAAAGACGCTAAACAACAAATAGAGGTGAAAAGCAACAAACCAGGGTCCATGCGGGGGGTACAATATCTCTATATATATATACATGTATAGATATGTATAGGTTCATTATCAAGCATGTATATTGGTTCATCATTTATATTGGACTTTGGGTGGCTTTTTGTTGGATTGGAGCTGATTTGTGATTTGTGTTAGGTCTCCTGCTGGTTTAGCAGCGGCTCTAGGGCTGCCTTTTTAAGGTGTGGAGAAGTGGGCGATGGTCTCGTTTAGGATTGGTGTTATCTAGACACTTGTGCATTTAATGATTGATTTAATTGGTTTGTTAAGTTCTCGATGTATCAACCGAACAACATGTCTATATGTGTATATATATATAGATACATATTTGTGTCTTGAGTTTAGTGGGAACACTGACTTTTCGAGTGGAACTCCCCCCTACTAGTAGGATTAATCCGCAACAACTGACATGTGTTGAGGAACCTGGTGGGAAACCAGTTCTGGTTCCGGACAACCCAAAATTCCGGTTGTCGCCATGAAATACTTGTCGCTGTGAAAGTGGCGCCATTACTATCCCAACACACCGCCAAAACCTCATTTCCAGCAACTCTGTCCCTGTCCACCAAACGTCCCTCGTGGGGCGAGTCTAGAATTCTACAGCCTCCCACTAGGAAGGAATCAAACAACTATTGAAGAAAAACAAGGCACACACTAATAAGTATAAGACCGTTTTGGACAAATTGAAATCCCAATGAGAACAATCAATCAGTTTTGAAGTTGGCGGACCATCCTGCAAAGCCACACGCCTTGATCGGGGGAAGGCTCAAGACCCAGTACGCAGAAGGCAACTCCGCACATGCAAGCATCCAGATTTGCGACACCCCTTTCTTGCATTGGGCCCCTTCAGCACAGCAGAGTGCAAAAGCCATGCTGGCTCGCGCCTTGCGATTTCTTCCCAATCCCTCCCACCCCCACCCCACTCCGTGTCATTTTTCCCAAACTGCGAACCATGGCAGCGATGCGGGCCCTGCCTCTGCTGGGCATAGCACGGAAAGCGCCCACAGGAAGGACAGGGCAGGGCGGTTCGCAGATGCCGCCAGCACCTGCAACGAGCCTCCCACCACCCCAGAACACACACACACACACGTGTATACACATACCTGGATCTTTCGAGGGTACGCAATTTCTGCCGTTTGGCGGAACTGCCAAAGTTGATGCGGTTTCAACAAACTTCCGCTGCTTCATTCAAAACTTGCCGTTTGACACAAATTTCCTGGGGTTTCCTTCAAAATGTGACAGAGTTGGCTTGCATCCTTGCCCCCAAGATGGTGGAGTGTGAATTCACACTTCCCACATTGTAAAATCACTACACCAGATTCGGATAGCAGGTCATCATCACGTTTTAGCTCCTTAGCTTCAGGCTTCAGGCAGTGCCAACCTCATCAAGGATAGGCTCAAGTTTAATCACTGCACAATAATCATAGCTCCGGGGCGTGGCACCAAAACTGCTGCCTGAGCTCTCGCCTTGCGCCAGCAAGCTCCTTATTAATTCGGTTCGCCCAAAATCGTTGGTTTTGCTTGGCATCGCTTCGTTGCATTTTTTTCTACGTCTCAATTGCTTGGGACTCAAGTGTGGCATTGGTATGCTGGGAAGTCAAGTTTTGACAGATTAACAAACAACAGGAGGGAAATGAAAACCTCTTAAGCAACTGGAAGCAGTGAGTTTCATGTTTTCACGAGCCCAAAGGACCCAGAAATACCAGGCTCACCTTTTGAGGCACCTTTGCTACAAAACCAAACTGGGAAAACCAAAGCAGTGCGGTTCACGTTCTACCTCCATTTGCTTAAGTCCCCAAGAAAAAAATAAAATAAAATCATTTCCAATAGTGATAGATTCGTTTTTTACCAACAGGAGAAAATAAACACAAATCTATTCAGCAACCGGAAGTCTATCCAACCCAGCCGAGCCCCCGATCTCACGCTCGCCTCCCAGGCGTGGTCGGCCTTGCCCGCGCGCGCGCAGGCCTGCAAGGTGGCATCGTAGGCTGGGAGCCGCTGCAGCCCGAAGCTCTCAGCTGACAAACGCGCCAGGCCTTGCACAGGGATCCGGATGCATGATATACTCGTGGGGGCTGGGGGGGAGGGAGGGGGCTTTTCTCCTGGATCCAGAAAGGGAAAAATGGGGAGACAATAAGGCCTCATTAAGGGCTTGATAAGGGCTTATTTGGGCTCCCTCCCCCTTCCCCTCCCTCCCCCCCAGCCCCCATGATACACCTGAACATTGCCTTGTATATGGTGGTTTCCCTTTATTTGAAGCCATGTTTCAAATGGTTGCAAAATGTAGCAATTTTAAGGAGCCCTGTTGCACCGTCAGCGAAAACTTGCGGGTGCGGGTAGGGAGGGACCGAGTCCGGGTGTTGTTGGGAATGTGTCCCATCTAACCCAAAACAAAATGGCCACTGAACACTGGCAACTCCTGGGTTCCCTTCTAATCAAAAAGGGTCGCATAAAAACTACCAACCATTTGGCACACCCTGATTACGACAAATTATCGTCCACGCAACTTCATGAAGCCAGGTAGGACCGCCGCGCAGATGCACAACTTGCTTTTGGCGGGCTAACATTGCAAACCATGGATTTTGGGGGCTGCCCACTACACAGAATCTGCGAGCTAGCTGCTTGCAGAGCTAGAAGGGCTAGACCTTTCTTTTGTTTAGCGAGTTTGCTGAACAAATGCATGAAACCGATTGATGCGCAAGGGGAACCTCGAAGTGAAACGGTAAAAATGATCCTTCAAAATGGCCAACCCTGACAAGGTTGGCATTTGCAGCCGAACCGAGCCGGCCAATCACCTCAATCCAGTTCAAAGGCTAACCTTTCCAGTCCCCTGCTTCTAATGCACACACACCGTTTTTTCATGCACTCACACTTACATTATCATAACAAACTTGGCCCTTCGCAGCCCCAATCTGAAAAAACACAAAGATCGAAAGCAAGGGTCATGCCAATAAACAAGTAAACCACAACTGCGCTGCTGGGCAAAACGTTCATGGCTTTGCAAAGTGACCCGCGGTCTAAGACTCGCAGGGCGCCTGTTGAAGGCTTTGCTTCAAAGCGAAAAGGGCATCTGGCGAATCGCATGCCATGGTTCCAGAACGTGAACAACATGTTGCCCAAAGGTTTCGTTTGAACACCAGGGACTCAACCTCAGTTCTAAGGACACCAATGTTAGAGACAATATCTTCCCTCAACTCATCAAGCTACCCTACGAATAGACGAGTACTTTCCAAAACCCCGTCAAGAATCTAACCTGCGGTGTCAATCGATTTGAATTGCAAGCCGTACACATAAACATGTATCTCCACTTTCCGAGTTGTTGGAACAATCCGACAACTGCTTCAAAACAACGTTGCTTGAATGGGTCTTTACTAAAATCATGGACAAACCTACTTACAAAAGTTTATTAAAGTGTGCCAACTCCGCCGGGAAGTAAACCTCCTTTGCATTGAGGAGTTGGAGCGACCGCGCCTTAAGCCCCCCGAAGATAAAACAAAAAGGAGGAAAAACATGTCCAGTAGACATGTTTTCCCTTTGAAACCAACGGGCGAAAATAAGACATATTCATTTCAGCAAATGGAAGGAACGGAAGCTCCTTGCCTTTGGTTGAGATCCTGCTCTGGACGGATCATGCAAAACATACTTTGAGCGTTTCCAAAAAAGTAGAAGTGGCCGGAATGGCAGACATCGCTGCACCAGCAAAACCAGAGGACTTTGGTTCCTTTCCAAGTCGCCGCGCTGCCACTCCAGAACCTTCGCCCCGGCGGTCGCCGCCAAGTTCCATGCGACGGAGTCGTCGAGGCGGCCGCGAAAAACCGGCGCCAGGAGGTGCAACGCCTGGCTGGGATCTAACAGCATCGCCCATGAAATTTGCGAGTGCCAGTTATTCTTTTTGGCAGGAATCGGACCCATAATGGTGGCCTTCCCTGTAGAAACCAAAAAAAAGGTACCAGCACCAGAAGACACACCCAGCCGGAATTTCATCAGCCCTCGCCTGTTTAATGATCTCGGGTTGCTCTTACGGTGGCTGGCCCGAGTCGTGCAAAATGCTCCCATACTCCAAACCATGACACCTGGCCACAAAGTGCATGATTCTACAGGCAGGTCAGCGGGGCATGTCAAAAAGTGTTGCTTGGTGAATCATCAGCTCTTGCCGGAATTCAGCAACCAAATTGTTCAACCTCTGAGAGAGACCCTCATGGAGCAAACCCAAAGGCCGAATATTAGAAAGCGACAAGCAATGTCTGGCAATGTGGGTCTTTCGGCCCCAAATATAAATTAAACCCCCGACCTAAAAGGGTTTGGTCTTCAGATGTCTTGAGGTGGCACTTGGGGAGTTGAACTTGAAATTCGGTGTCTGTAGGACAGCTCTAAGGCCTTCAGTGGAGTTTTGGATGGGCCTCTCTATGGCTCCAGTGGAATCCCGTGAGGGCTCCGTCGCATGGGAGTGTTCAGGGTTGTACTCCGAGCTCCATCCCCTTGGGGTGTGTCTACGAGACACCACGCGCTTTTTTGGAGAGCCAAACTGCCTTGCCGCGGTGTCCTTTTTTTTGGCATCGCTAAAACCGGCGTGACGTCACATGACACAGTGAACCCCACAGCCCGAATCAAAAACCGCTTCTTGGGGCCGACCAAATGAATCGCCGGACCGCATGTTGGTGTAGTCATCCCCCTTACGCCACACATCTACCGAGAGTTATGCCATCTACGTTTTCACCCAACTTGCAAGAGCATCTTCTGGTCGCTCTGGAGGTATGAAGCTGACACACCACTTCTAGAAAGGGGAATATACAATCTGACGAGCTGTATATGTGTAAGCCTTCATACCATCAGAACCAGCCCTAAAAGCACCTTTGAAGCTTCAGACTTACGAATGCTTACGGCCTCAAGCCCCGCCCAAACCACACCCCCAACACCCGTCCTGCGGCCACTCGCTGGCCTTTTCACAGCTCGACGCGATGAAGAAGGAGTCCGCCTGAGCTTATCTCAGGAACGCGGAAGGGACCGGGGCCCCGGCAAAAAAGGGCTACCTGGCTTGCTCTTCCTGAGGGAATCAAACAAAATGTGCAGCCACTTGTTTGAAGGTCTGGTCACACAACGGACCAGCCACGGGGGCCATCCCTGGGTAAGCCTAGGGCCTAGGGTAAGCCAAAAATGAGCCCCTGAGGCACCCCGAACAAAGGAAGCTTCATCGGCCCATGGGGCCGTCGCGATTCACCTCCCATCACAACTATGTGCATGTGTGCAGGTATATGAACATATGCTTGCATGTATACATATGCACTACGTGCACAAAAAAACATAAGCTTGACAATACGCCAAGCACCAACAACTTTCTTTGCCCGTCCCCCAGTTGAAAAAAGAGAAGAACCAAAACAGCAACACAACTAAACAAACAACCACACAACTGGACACAAAATAATAACTAAAGAACCAACTCAACCAACTGAACCAGCACAACAAAGCCAAAAAACCAAACAAGGACCCCTATAGCCCTGCGGTCCAAACCCGCGCCACCTGCCTGGCAATGAGCTACAGAGATGTGCGCGAAGTGAAAGGCCAAGCGCCACCTGCGAGTTTGCTTCGCAGGGCATGACGCCCAAAGGACCAAACCACTGCAGTGCCTTTCAATTCCTGGCATCAACCTCACTCACTTTTATTAGAGACTTGGTTTCCCTTGAAACATCTGACACTCAAAGGACCCAGAAATAACAAGCGATCACCTTTTGACACTTTACTGAGGCTGGACCAACATTGGAAAACCAAAAGGTCAAAAGTTCGCTTCGGGCAAGGAGAAAGGGCATGTCACCCACTGACCAAAAGCACGGCTGTGCCTCTAAATTCTCGGCATCAACCTCACTCGATTTTTATTGGAGGCTTGGTTTCCTTTGAAACCTACATCCATTTGACCATCTGGATCAAAACAAAACTATTCTCAGCTTCCCCTTGCTGGTTTGGATTGGTTTGGTGGCTTGGATGTATACCACCTGTTTGAAGAGCAGTTTTGAGGATGTCACCTGATTAACCCCTGGGTGTCCAGCCGCACAGGCCGGCCCCGCCTGTTCGACGCTTCCAACGCCGCGTGCGTGGCGCCCCAAGTCACCTTGTCCCGGGAGGCGCCTGGGGAAGAGGAAACATCCCAAGCGTTAGGGAACTCCCTCTAACCCCAGATCCAAGTAGAACCCGTCTTGTGGATGGTTGCGAAATCCAGAATCGCACCACGAAATGGAGCCATGTTGAATCCAGTACGTTTGTTGGTACTTACAGGGGATCATCATTCCAGGGTGGTGCAGGAGTTCGTCCATCTACAGTGTTAATAGGGTGTTGGGTATTTCGGATCCCCACGCACCCCCCAAATCACTATATACAAGTAGGACCCGTCCTAGTGCTGTTTTGGTGGGTGTCGGGCCCCACTTTGGGCCGTTTTTCGGATCCCCACTAAGAGGAATTGGACACCCCTCGATCAAAATTAACCAGGGTGTTATTAAATCCGGGTTTCCCAATGGTGGCTCGGCTTGGTTTGGAGGTTTAAACCCCCCTTTTGAAAAAAGGTACCCATAACGTCCAAGCCACCAACCAAGCCATCAATTCCGTGGATTGGCCACAGGGCCACAAGCGAAACTTTTCTGTGCAACAGACTTCCTAGACTCAGGGAATGAGGGAAAGGCCAAAGCCTTTTCGGGAAACGTGCCCACAGGATCTGCCCACAGGATCTGCACACACCACTTGGTTCGCCCTAAAAAAATGAAGCCTTGTTTGCAGCTCGCCTCTGAAAAACTGAACGGAACAACACGACAAACAAACACTTTGGTCCTCCAAACCCTCCTCTCCACCACCAACAATGACGGAAAACAAGTTTCGCAGCATGTGGAAGCATGTTGTGGTAACCCCCTCCGAAACAAGGGCGTTGGCTCCCCCAGTTCCATGTGGTCCAATTGGCCTTTACCCACCAAGGGGCCAATGAATTATATAATCCTAATCAAAGATCTCCAGAAGCCGCTTGTTCCACGTTCCCTTTCGGTATCCCGAATGGGCAACTGGTACTGTGGATGGACGAACTCCAGTTCGCACCGTTCAGCGCCCTGGAAGGATTCATCTCCCTGTGAATGCCAAGAAACGCATTGCGTTTCAATCATGGCTTCCATTTCGTGTTGCGATTTCCGGATTTCGCAACCACCAGGGTATGATGCACTGCTCATAGGCTCACGCTTTACCCTGCCTTCAACATGGCGCCCGGCCAAGAGGTAAGAAACGGTCTTTCTTCCTTACTAACCCACCGGTGCCTTCCGAAAATTGGAGGGTAACAGGGTTTCCGTCATGTCCGTTTTTGGAACCTCCAAAAGTGGCGATCGTTTCAATTGATCAACCTTCTGAACCAGCCAGACCGGAGTCTTGTGAGGGATGCATCGAAATTTGTGAGAAAGGGTAGCCGTCTGGTGCTTGGAGATGCCACAACCATCTTGTGGTGTGAAGGATGATTCTTGTTGGAAGTTGTGGAGATCAATTCTGAAAGGCAAACCCAGCGACCCAAAGTAGTAGGGAAAGGAGGCCGACCAAACAACAAGCCAAAGATAGCCGGCAAAGCCTAACGGCCAGCAAACCAAACTTTCACTTGTCATACCCTTGACTAGAAAAGGGAACCCTGCCCGACAGTTTAAGCTCGACTGACCCCGCGCCTATGTCTTGGAAGAGGTGAAAGGCCTTGTGCCACTGGATCGCCTTTGTGCAAGCGGTCATGGCAGCGTTGAAAACGCCCACCTGAGCGGTCGAGCCAGCGGCCAGGTAACAGCCAGCAGCAAGAAACAACTCTACCATTGGTTGCCACCCGGCAGTGTTGACCCAGGATGAAGCAAAAGCCAGGTTCATTTTCCGAGGGGGTTGGCAACGCAATTTAGAGGGAGCTCTTCATTGTCGGTTGAAACACCCTGCATTCGTCATCAATCCACCCGATTCATTGATCCAGGCTCCAAATGCCTGGGAGCCGGCGAGCGGTTCCGCTACAAGAACCATAGCTTCAAATCCCCAAGCCACCAATGAAAGCAGCATGCCAAATAGATTTGGCACCTGAACAAGTTAAACAATACTCTTGGGGTTCAAACATCAAGCCACCACAAAACCACAGGCTGTTAACATGACCACCGGTATTGACCTTCATCGTCCAAATTGGGTCAACCATTCCTTTGATGGGGGTTGAACCCTAGGCATACTAATCTCCTTTGGATGTCCTGGCAAAATCTTGCATTGGCTAAAATAGCACCCGGAAAATGAAGGCCGGCGACAGGCAACGCAATGGGACAAACATTGGGTGGTGCTCCTCATGGAACAAGAGAGTCCCTTTGTTGGAGCCATTTGGCAGGAGAATGCCGAACCTGCCATACCTCTGTGCTACACAAGTTCGCAACACCCAGTCATGACCATTCGCTTCAAAACCCAGGAAAAAATGCACTTTCTGCAAATGGCAGAGCTGCATAATTTGCTGTCCTAGACTTGAATGATTGAATTCGCTTTAGCAATGACGGGCTGCTCTTTTCAGGGCCATCACTGGAGTGCAGGGCTCAGCGCGCAACTCTGACTAACTCTGTGCCAGCGGCAAACATTTACCATTTTTTCGGGATGTTTCAGGTTTGGGTTTTGGAGCTATGGAGGTTACACGTAGGATATGAGCGCTACATGCCGCCTTACAAGTTACTGGTGGCAAGGATCCATAGCTCACGATTCAAGAGGCAAGGCCCACCTTCGACATTGGCGACACAGACAGGTCCTAAGGCAAAGCCTGGCAAGGACAGCCAGCCGAAAGGGTGTTTCGCTGGCCTATCTTCTAGGGTCCAAAAGGAAAAATAAAGAAATATGCGAATTTTGGCAAGGTGTTTAGGCCATGCAAAAAGGTGTTGGATGCAGAATGGTGCATTTGGCAACATGCAGGGGCGCCTCTTAAAATGATTTCTGGGGTTCAAAGTTAGGGGAACTGTCAAGCAACCCAAGGATGGTACCTGATGGTACCGCCTTACGTCTTGGCCCCCCTCAGTTCGGATATCTGAGGCTCTAAGAGGCTTCTCATGTTTTTCCTGGGCAAATGTGTACTAGGTTAAGCCTTTGGAACCTAGACGAAACACGAAACAAACCATGTAAACCCCAAAGGGCGTCGTTCAAGATCGCAAAAACCGGGTTGTCTTCTTTTCGTCCCCCTTTAAACACCATCCAAAAACAAACTCTCTACCTCAATTTGCTCAAGTCCCCTGAAAAAAACAACAACACATATTTTCAGTAGTGATAGATTCCCTTTAAAACCAACAGGGGAAAACTAACCAAAACAAATCATATTCTTAACCAAATGGAAGTCTATTGGTCTAGTGGTCGGTCTCGGGGCCAGACCTCTGTCAAGCGGGAGGTTCTGTACTCCTTCAGCACACCGAGCGCGAGCTGCCACTGCCCATTCGAGCCGCAGGCACTGATGGCCGTCCTCAAGCCACCCGAAGCCCCGGATAGAGCCGGACTGGGAGTTTCCACTGGGTCTGGTTTCTGAGGTCCAGGGGTCACTGGATTTCACATCGAGAGTTGATCAATCGTTTTCCATTGACATTGCACGATTGAAAGTCCAAAAAGAGATGGCGGAATCCCTGCCCTATGCAAGCCGAAGAGTGCAGCATTACTTTCAGCTTCCTCCTGACCGGTGGCTTGACTTGCTGCTTTGGAGCTATTCCCGCTTCCCCTCCCTCGAACATCACCCATCCAAACCGCGAAGGGGTACCCCCTGCGCGGCTGCAAATGGCCGTAACTGCACGGGCTGACCGCCATCCTCCCAAATTACCAAGGAGTAAACCAGCGAATTGAAGATGTGTTCCCCGATTTGGCGGCCGTCGGGCCGTCGGCATGCTTGACCAAACATTTGGTCACAACTCCTTGAGGGCGAAGCAACACAAGGGTGCAGGGTATGGTAGAACAAGACAGGGAGCTTTTAGATCAAGACTGACCCTATGGTATGATGATTGCGCAAACAAACATAGTATAACAGGGATCCTTACCTTATACACCTGAACATTGCCTTGCAAATGGTGGTGTCCCTATATTTCGGTGGAAAAAACAACATGTTTCAACTTGTTGCAAAATGTATTTTTAAGGAGCCCTGCATAGTATAACTACTTTGGAACTCCCCTTCTGCGATACCATGGGAGATGTCCCATCACTTCGAAGGGGTGCTCTTGGCGAATCAAAGCATGTTGCCTAAAACCTAACTTCCCACCACCGTGCAGGGCCGCAACGGGTTGTCGCATGTTGTCGCCAAACCTGCCGTCTAGTTGACTGGAAGGCTGATTTGCTGAACTTTACCCAGCTGAAGCTGAGCTTGCTGGCTTGAAAATGCCTTAGACCACAAACATGCAAACACCCGACAAAAGCTTCAGTTTTGCGATCTGAGCGTCATGTACGGCAGGCTGTCCAAGCGCATGCGACTAGCGCATAGGAGCCAAAACAACCGGAGCGCCACCTGCCACTCGCCGCAAATGCCCATGACAGTGCTGTAGGCGATGATGTCCACATCTGGAAGCACGTCGCACGTGTTAATGTCGGACTCGGCCCCCAATCCACAACGGAACCCCCCAAAAATGAATGGTGTCTGCTTGGTTTCTCTTTCCAATCACCACAAAGGGTTCCCTAAAGCTGTATATACACATGTACACACATCTGTGTTCATAGTTGTGGCAAATACCTTTTTCTGAGATACCACAGTGGACCATCCTACCCACCCAGAAACAGTCTTTCGTGACAGGCAATCTTGTTTCATCAGGAATCCCACTTCAAACATCACCCGCATCACCCTTTTCGATGGAAACAATAGAAATCATGTGCTTTTGTTCCGAAACAATTGACGATTCAAGCCATGTCTATATTCAACTAACTGTTCTACTGCTTACCTCCGCATTTGATACAAGGAAACCAAGTCCAGGAACTTGGGAAGTAAGTGTTGACCTGTGGAACATGTTGACCCGCAAACGGGTGTTGTGTTATCTCCTGGTTGGTCAATAAGGAGCGTCCCTTTCAAAAGGACATACTTCATTTTTTGGGGAAGCACTCCACCATTGATCAACCAGGTTGACTAATCAGGGTGGTGGCCACACGAATAGCCATAATGGCCCCCAATTTTCGCCCTCTAGATTACCAGAAAAATGACGGATTCAAGGGAAACCAGTCCCCCTCAAGGAATTTGGAGACCGGTTCTGACTCAAAATGCGCTTGCACTAGCCGCATCCCCCGTCGCATCCGTGCGCCTTGCTCTACGATGGCATCCAGCGCCTGCTCCCACCGCTGGCCGCGCCCCAGCGCGGTGAGCGCCAGATTCCTCGCCACCACATCGGGCGGTAAGTCCTGGGCCATGTCCTGCGGAAAGCACAGAAAGGCATGCTGGCTTGATGGCAACCACTGACCACTATACAGGGATCCTTACATTATACGCCTGAACATTGCCGGGTAAATGGTGGTGTCCCTTTATTTTGGTGGAAAAAGCCATGCTTCAAATCGGGAAAATGTATCTTTTTTACGGAGCCCTGCCAAACAAAGGAATATAATATAAGTGTCATCAAATATCCCCGTTTTTCCGTGAGGGTGTATTTGGCGTGGTGGTGGACACCATCTTTCCCCTAATTGTTCAACAATTCCAAATACGTGAAATAAGAAATGAGGGAAACCGTTCAAAAAAGCCCGAGCCCCCTTTTTGCAAAAAGGCCAAGTTGCTCTGACTTACGTCGCCCAGTGGCCCAGCTTTGGGGCAACAAGGTGACTTGCGCAGGGGTTCAGGCAGAAGGGGTTCGCCCCTCCATTCTGGGCCCTATTTCACAAGCATCCAACACCTTGAAGTGCGAGTTTGAAGGGTCAATGTGGAACTACAAGGAAATCTGGCTTGGAGAACCAATTCGAGCCAATCCCTTCCGCTTGACTGTTTGCGTGTTTTGCATTCTTGGGGGAACAAGGGGTCGGGCTGGAGGCAAGTGAGGCAAGGATATCTACATGTTGCAAGCCTATGTAAGCCTATGCACGCCCGCCCAAGTCCACCCCGGACTTCATTGCAAAGGTGACTACATTTTGGGACCTCGACTATCACCAGAAAGGTAAGCAGTGGCTTATGATAGGAAAAAATGGACGCCAAAAGTATGGACTGATCATGTTAGGAGGGAAGCCCACCAAACTTGCAAACCCCTAGGTCTCCTATTTTTGCCCAGTCTTCCCCCACCAAAAAACACAGCAACACGTGCCGGAGATCTCCAAGCTCCCCCACCCGGCACATCCTGACAGTGTGTCTTTCTCTTCTGGGCTGCCCTCAGATTCCCCGCTAAGAGTTTAACTTTTAATAGGTTGAATGGAAACTACCACTAAACGCTAAAAGGCTAAAAAGCCAAGGGGATGGCTGGGAGCCACCAAGTCTTGTACTGCTAATGTATGGTCAAATGTCCTATTGGGACCACGCCCCCTTCCAAGCAGGGGTTTTCTTTTCTTATTGTGTTTTTTTTCCTGAGTTTCCCGTTAAACCACCAAAGCTGGTTACCCTCAAAATATGGCAGTGGGTCAAAAATAGGTACCCCCTCTGGAACCCTAGTAAATGGAAACATGGATCAAAATCTGCGGTCCCCTTCTGGTTTCATTTTGACCCATACCCACATATAACGTTATACTGTGGATGGACGAAATCCTGCACCACTTGTCATCATTCCAGGGTTTCTGAACGGTGATGCGAAATGGGTTTCGTCCATCCACAGCATTGTTTAGGGGATGGAAACTTGAGGATGGTTCTAGCCTGGAACAGCAGCAGTGCCATCGGCCACCTCTCGCAGCTTTGCATCGCCGCGCAGGACGGCAAGCCTAGGGAGGGGTACCCTCCTGTCCACTCACTTCCTGAGTGGATTGGACAAAAAAGTCTTTAACTTCTTATTTACCACCAAAATTGTCTTCTCCCAAAACATAAAGCTCAGGAACTCAGGAACATCAACCCATTTATAGTGAGGAATCGGGCCACTGTTGGTCCCTAAATAGTCTTCCGGGTGCCCGAAGCGTCAGGTTCATGTCCAGAAAATCTAAGAGCCACGCAAATTGGGGGGAGACCAGAGGGATACACCTCAAGGGCCAAGGGGTGCATGACAGACAGTGGATGGGACAGGGCTCTTATGAACCCTTTCTTTGAACGTCACCCGGGGAAAGTCAAACAACATTGGCAACCAAAAGGTGATGTTGAACAAAGACAGATGCTATCGTTACTCGACCAACTAACCCAGTTTGTGCCGAAAACGGACTGTGCAAGTGGCCTCATTTCATGCTCTGTGCTCCCTAAAAAATCCTCTGGAAGCCATCGCCCTAGTTTCAAGAGCTGGCACAAAAGGTGAAAAGGAAATCGGTATATCCAAATAGGTCTGCCCCAAGAAAAAAAAGGTCAAGGTTGATGCAAACGATGGGCGTGGGTTGCGAGGAACAACGAAACCCGGGCCCGCAAACGAACCCAGACGTCGGTCGCCATTGGATTTAAGATGATGTTCACCCCAAACCAAATTTTCAGGGGTATGGACATTTCGCCCTCTGCCCCGCTTGCCACTGGTAGCGGTTGGGTTCCATCATGGGAGCTTCTGTCGACGGGGCTCTTCGAAATGTCTCCAGAGATTCCCCCCCCCCCTCGGGAAATCCCTGGTGGGTTCTCAAAAAGTCGAACCACCTTTTGGATAATTTCAAAAAGAAGTGGATCCAAAATGATCCAATTAAGGCCATGTTCAGGGCCCATCTCGAGAAACAACTTAATTAATCCCATCAGATCACACCCCCCTCCTCTCGTTCGCCCGCCCCGCGCGAGCCGCAACTTCTCTGCATGCCCTGGGCGTAGGACCATCGCAGCAACCGCAGCGCCTCTGCCCAGCCCACGGCCTTCCGAGAGCGATCCGGGAGGATGGAGGCCCATGGCGAGGCGCTGGATGGGCAGAGTTTCACTTGGGTGCTGTGGATCCCCCACCGAAAAAGTCACACATTTTGCTGGTCAAAAAAGCTAAAGTCTCAAGCTCCAACCCAAGAGTTCAGAGGAGCAAAACCGTGGGATGGTGTCGAAATAGCCACGAGGAGGACACCCAAAGCATTCATGCCCTTTGGGAGCCAATGTGATGTGGACCTTGGAGGTTTCACCTGTAGTCTAAAAGGGGGTGCCTTTTTCCCTGCAAAAGTTGCGAATTGCCGCAAGGACACCCCCTATTCATCAACCAAGGGTTGATTCGCCCGTACGGGTGTACCTACTGTGGTTGGACGAATGCATTTCGCACCAGCGTTCAGAAGCCCAAAGGAATGAGGATTCCCAACGTAAAAAAAAAAAGAGCAAACGTTAAGGTTGCAACCATGGTTCCAAAGTGGTGCAGGAGTTCGTCCATCCAGAGTGTGATTTGTTGTTTTACTTTTGATCCCGCGGAAAGCCAAGGTGAAAAGAGTAGCCTCAAACACATTACCTCTAAAAATGTATGTGCACATAATATGTATGTATGTATATATATATATATAAAACGGTTCCCCCTCCTCCCGTGGAGTGGTTGTGGGCGGGGTTGGTTGGGGGTTGGCTAAGGGTTGGTGCAGTTGGTTAATAGGCTGTTTGAGGGGGCTAGCCCCGTGGGCCCGTGGATGCCCGGGGGATTCCGGGAAAAAGCGCGGGGGATGCAGAATGTCTCAAGTTGGCTTGTTTCACTTGCCCAAAGGACCCAGAAAAAAAAGGATTACTTTTTGGCACGTTAACAAAAAAATGGACCAACAGGGGAAAACCAAAAGGTCAAAAGGTCGGCATTGGCGCAACTGAGGAAAACACAGGGGTAGCTAAATTCCCCCTCAAACACTTGCAATTGATGTCTATTGAAACGATCGTCAGTTTGGAGGACGCACAAGGGAAATCAAGGAAACCCTGTAAGGAACCCGCAACATGGATCAAAACGGGAAAAGCAGCTCCCTTTGCCCTGAAGCAAGCCCGCCACCAAACACAAACACGCGCGCTTCTGCAAACTGGAAAGAGGCACTCACAAAGACTCGCCATGGCACCTAATGCTTGCAATCGTTTATTTCACCCTGATAGCAACATTTCCCCCAGCCAAACCAATCCATCCATTGGACAAATTTATGGAGGAAGGGAAATGCGGAAAGTCCTGTTATATGTTCCACGCAAAAATATACAACTGGTTAATTAACAAGAAAGGCTAGTCGATGTTCTTTTTGAAACCAACCCAACGTGGAGAAGTTGCGACAAACGCATAAAAAAATGCAAAACCCCCCCAACCCAAAACAAAATTGAAGCCCTGGTGTCACCCAACTATTTGCCGAAACTTAGCCACGCCTGCAGCGCCGTGTTGAGGGCCACAGGGTCCTGAGCAGGCCGCGGAAGCATGAATGGTGGAAAGCGGAAGGACTGAGGTTGGACTCCTGTAGAATGGGAGCCTATGGTTGTGCCTCAACGAAAACAAAACATGTGTGACCCGTAGTTATCTGTTCTGTGGATGGCCCAAATCCTGCAGTTGGAATTGATTCATGCCCAACTGAAAAATTGGCATAAACCATCTAATGCAGGATGTTTGCCTTTGTTCCCACTTAGTACCCCAATATGCCAGCTATCGCATGGACAACTTGAATGATCGAAACAAAAGAATCACACGCATACCAAAAAACACAACAACACACACACGCAAACACACAAACACACACACACAGACACAAGACAAGAACACACACACACACACAGACGCACACACAAATGCAAGCACTCACACACACACACACAAACATAACAAACAAAACAACACAAAACAAAACAAAACAAACAGTCAAACAATCAAACAATCAAACAAACAAACAAACAAACAAACAAACAAACAACCAAGCGAGTAGGCAAACACACAAACAATAACAACAGAAACACACAAAGAGAGACACAAGACAAGGACACACACACACAGACGCAAACAAACACACACACACACACACACTCACACGCGCAAACGAAACAAACACAAACAAGCACAAACAAACAACCAAGCAAGCAAGCAGGCAAACAAACACACGTATCCTAGGATTTCATGTCTCTTTCGGATAAGATTGAAATTCGATCTCAGCGAGGCCTTCATAAGAAACAGGGGCCGGGGTTTGGTGGGGCCATGGGCTCGAATTCGGGGAGTTGGATCCAAGCCTTTGTCACTTCCGCTCAAGTGGATTCGCAACCAAAAAGGCTCGCAGACCTTGGTTGCTGCTGACCCCTCTGCAAAAGGTTTGACTTTTTCTGGGTTTGATGGAATACCCAACAGATTTCAACCAAAGGCTAAACTCTAAAGATCCAACCCAACAGCAATCAAGAAACTGTTGCGTCCGTTCCAAAAAGTGACTCAAGTCCGAAACGGAACTCGCAGGAGTGAAAGCACAACTCTTCCAGCACGAGTGTCTGCGTCCATCGCCTTGAGGCGCCGCACTGCTTCCTGCCAGAGACGGGCGCTCTGCGCAGCGCCAATGGCCGCCGTCCAGGTGATGCGATCCGAGCGCAGCCGCAGCAGAGGCAAATTCGAGAAGAGCAGCAGGGAGAAATGCCAGCGACCCGCGCCAGTGTAGAGAGTCCTAACGAACGCCAATGTTAACAGCCAAACAAAGTGGGGGTTTGAAAATCAAGTTTTGAGCACTGGGGGATGTCCTAGGAATTGCGGCTTCTCCCAAGTGGGCGCAACAGAGGTACAGTTTAAACTCACGTGCGCAAAGGACCCAAAAGTAAAGCGCTAACCTTTTGGGGCCATCCCCAAAATGGACCAACAGAAGAAAACCAAAAGGTCAGCAGGTCGATGTTGGACAACTGTTTATAGCTTGTGCGGATGCCCCGGTTTTCACAACGCGCATGGGGGGGGGGGGGTAGTTTGGAGGTGGGATCCACAGACTCCTCGCGGTTCAAGTGACATTTTTGGCGAGGCGCCACGAATGCATTCGCCGCACAAGTGTGTATATAGGTGTGTCTTTATTAGGGGACCCCCCCCGCCGGAAAAAGAAAGGAAGCCTTCTCCTTCTGGATTGGTACCCTCAAAAAGACACGCCCACATCAGCACATAATTTATGGGCATCTGGCTGGCGATTGGAAATACGGAAGCCTTCAGGTTGCTCGTGTGCGATCCGTTGTTTTGTGGTAAATACATGCCCCTGCTCGTTTGATCGTCCCTTGAACCCAGCCAAATATATGTGCCGAGGGTCTACGTTTCAAAGGCAGCCGGCGGTAAAAGACCGCTGGACAAGGGCCACTATACGCCACTTGCCTGGTGGCCAGGGAAATGTGATTCACACGACAAGGATGGCACCCAAGCAAAACAAAACGACAACTGGAAACATGAACAAAGAATCACGCCCCATTAAAAGCAAGGCACCAGGACAAAAACAACATGACGGACTGCGCCCCTCAACTCAGCTCAGAGTCATTGCCGTGTTCATGGTGATGATGCCTCGGTTAGTCTTTCATAGCCGCCCCTTCAGCTTTTGACTTGTTTTACCGTTCGGGGGGTCCCCCAATTAAAGACACATCCATACTTCCCCCCACCTCTTGCCCCCCCTCCGCCACCAAAAAACATGGCCTGGTGCACAGCCCCCTTTTCCAAGAGGATACAAAAGGGCCTGTGCACCCAAACATGTTTCATGGCGGTAGGGGACACTGTTTTTGGTGGGGGGGGGGGGTTGGGGGGGGTGGGGGGCAAACTGTCATTTTCCGAAATATTGAGTTGTAAGATGCCACTTTCCAAACAAGTGTACGATGTTGAGGGAAAACCCCATTTTGGATGTGGCCCCCGATCTTGACACATACCTTAAACGGATTTCCAAAAACACTCCAAACAAGTCGAGCAAAGATGCTGAGGTCATAGCGCCCATCCATCTCACCAAGGAGGCTAATGCAGGCTTGCCATTGTCCGGCCCCGGAGGCATGCCTCGGACAAAGATGTTGCAGTGTCCTTTGGTCTAGGGTTGATTCCCCATTCTTTTCAACCATCGTTCTTTCCACAAACCGGATCCGTTTTCCCTTGGTTTCCGGAGGTTTTCTAGAAAGATTCGGATCCCTGGAAAGAATTGGGAAGGTACCCCTTGATTTGGGTTGTTTTTTTGGGACACGCTATCAGAGAGGGAAACCAGCTGCCAGAAATCCTACAGGAAAAAAAACATGCTTTTGGTGGGCGTTTGGACTTCCAATGTCCCACTTCCTGAGAAATTCCAGTAGCTGGCTATGAAAATACAATCAACACGAATGGGAAGTCACCCATTCAAAACCAGCTTGCAGCGTTGCGCCTTTGGACATAGAGCTATGTCTAGACATTGCATAAATGAAGCAAGGCCAATCCAACAACCACCACAAACGGGTTGCCTGACACTTGCGCCCAGAATGGGCATCTCTGTACCGAGAAATGAACCAGAGACCCGACGAGTCAGGACATCCCGTCTCTAAAAAAGGGTTGCGCGTGCGGTAAAAGGAACATGTCATGAGAAACCAAGGCGAATCTTGAGGAAGTTGAACAAAAACAACAACACTAAGTCCAAAAGGGAAAAATAGATGGGTTTCCCTGGTAAGGTTGACCCCAGGTGAAGTTAAACCCCTGTTGTTTCTTGTTTTTTTTTTTTTTTTTTTTTTTTTTTTAAAAAAATCTGGGGTGTTCTCCTCCAAAAGTGGACTGGATCCCCATTAAAACCAGGGAGAAGCACCCCCATATTCATCAACTGCTTGGTTTAGCTTCAGCCGAGGCCTTCGGCTTCCGTAGGCGTGGCTCATCTTGAAAGACACTGCTGACTGCAAACTCCCGAAATCGCGGTCAGAAACAATGGCCCAAAACCCCATGCGTTGCCGACGTTTGCAAAAGGGCGAATCCAATTTCCGCAATTGGGGCTTGGGGAAGGGTGCATTCCATGGAATTCGGCCACAGGTCCCCATAGCCCCCATCAGGGCACCCCTTGGGAAGCCGGGACGCAAAGCAGCGCTGTGAGAAACCTCGCTGCCCAGAAACCTGAGGAGCGGTCCGACGGAAACGGTGGACAAGGTGTGGATGGCGTGTTTTTTGGAACTCGTCTTCGTTGTAAAAGGGGCAAAGAACACCAAAGTGCAAAGCGCATGTAAGCTAAGTCTGGCAATGAACTATCTCTTTGGATGGGTTGAAAGGCTGACAAGTCCAAAATTAAAGGCAAAGGACAAACATGTGTTGGTCAAATCTTGGAACATGTATATACACCAGACAAACAAACAAATAGATATGTTCTGCCTGGCCGTGCAACTGCGACTGCATCGCGCGGAAGAGCAGAAGCGAAGTGCGCCATCGGTGGCCCCTGTCGCATGCGCTGATCAGTGCCTCACATGATCTCGAAATAGGATGCAAGCATGGTTGTGGAAAACCCCACTGGCCAAGGATGCCCTTCGCAATACGTCCAGTGAAAAATATCTCCCCCTTGAAACCAAGAAGAAGATCAAGAAGTTTCTTGAGCAAATGGAAAAACACTTGGTTGACGTTGGGAAGGGGAGTAGGTGGGGATTTCTACCACTAAGCCACAATAAGCAAAAATGGGAAAAATGTTTCCCAACGACAACCATGAACAGGTCAAGACTTCAGCAAATGGATCCACACCCAACGGGCCGTTTTGGGTGCCGCCCCCTCGACTTGGAACCTAAAAGTCCGTTCCGTTTTCTCACCAAATGTGGAAGGCCTTCAAAGCGTCAGGGGCAACATGGCAACATGGATGGGGCCCACTGGCCCTGCTTCTTTTACCAAAGTCACCCCCTACTGTAAGTGGTGGGTTAAAGGGAAACCACCGATTCCATTTTCTGACTTTGATAACTCCCAGAAACCGTCAAAATCATGACCCCAGTGGGGGCATAGGTGCCCTTTTTGGAAAATCGATGGCACTCGCAGATGATTGAACCACCGGGTAGACCAGGAATCGCCCTCTAGTTCTAACCAAACTAAGCTAAAAGGACACCTACGGATGGGGGAGTGATGTTGGACCTTCTTTTGTGCGGGGGCGTCTACTCTACAAAGTGCTCTTCCTCAGGATCCAGCGACTGCTCCAGTGCCAACTTGTTGTTTTTTTTCTCGAGAAATTCCGGCAACAAGTTGTCGTATCAAAGCCTGAGCCTTTGCATTTCAAGGGTGTTGTCTAAGTCCTTCCCGTTCCAGTTTGCCAGTGGTCAAACTAAACTCCAGATACATCCATTCCAAAGGATGTATCCAAATAGTCGCGCAAAGGGGGCCATCCCGTGTTTTGTTTGTATATGTTTTGTTGTTTGTGCTGCTTATGTTCTACTTGTTTTTGCTTTGCTGCTTCTGGGGGGGCTTGAATCACATAGGACCTTGACTGAGGCTTGACCAACTTTGGGAAGACAAAGCTGTCGGCTAAATATCTTTCAAGTGAGCGGGGGCAAACCAAGTGTTTGTTTGTTTTGCCTGAGCTTTGCAGCCGAAACAGGTAAACCAGAGGGACCCCTCAAAAAGGAAGAAACCAAAGGAAAAGGTTGCAAGGCAACATTTCCTGCAAGAAGAAGTCCAAATTGCATTTACCACTTACATGGTCTTCCCAAAGAGTGACAAAAGTCCAGGAACCCGGGAAGTGAGGAAAGCACGAACACTTCGACTAATAGCAAGGCGCGTTCCAAAGCATCTCCGTGTTCCTGGGGGCGCCGGAGCTGGCAGCGCAGGCCGCCCGCCATTGCTTCGCTTTGCTGCAAGAGGACACGGCAGCGCTGCACAGCTTGTCCTCCACCTAGGCCCAGCTTTCTCAACGGTGCCGTGGGAACTAAATACTCCATTTGTTTAAGCTCCCTGGACCAAAAACAAACATCCAATAGTGATAGATTCCCTTTAAAACCAACAACGGAAAACCAAACATATTCTTAAGCAAATGGAAGAATCTTATTCATATGGGATGCACTGGGGTAAACCATGATACACCACCAAGCAACTATTACAGGAGGTTGTTCATCTACAGCATGATACTTGTAGCCAAAACAATCTTGCCCTTTGCAGCCCCACGCCAAAATCGGTGCGGCTCCAGGTTAACCAATCCATTCTGAGCCACAATGCATCTGCTTCTTCCAACATTATCCCACAACGCAAATGATCCTCCAAACAATATGAAAAGGCGACGACGGATAAATCAGCCATCATCCCATCACACAAACAATAGAATTTGCTCTATTCGCACGACTTAGGGTATGTGCTCCAGAGGGAAAATAATTGTTAAACGATGACAACAAGAAATCAAATTCACACAAGCACGACAATCATCAACCAACATGACGGAGCATTAACAATATATAGACACATGGAGACAATTGACACACACCGACAATAATAAGGTGAAACAGTGATTCATTGATAATGCCGGTCCAGGTGATGTTCCAAACCAAGCGAACTTGAGGATCCCTGTCAAAAGGCATCAGACTTTTGAGTAAGAGGTGTCCAAAACTCTGCCCAGCCTGGAGGCCAAAGCAAACTTTAGGCCGATTCACTGACAAAGTGGAACACCACAAAATACCACAAGCAGACCTGGGTCAGCCTGGTGGCTTTCTCCCCTTCACCTTTCAACCAACAAGTCAAAACACAAAAGGTCGATTGCACCATGGGGAGCACAAAATTGACATTATTCATAACATGTCCACTGTGGATCCTTCCAAAGAAAATATGAGGATGCCTAGCTTAATGAGAAAAAGTCGCGACTTTGGTCAAACCCGCCTGCAGCTCAGCCTCTCGCAGCGACCACAGTACCTCCATCGCCAAGGGCCACCGATCAACGGCGGCCAAAACTGCCCCGATGCCAATGCCGTCCGCCTGCGGGCAATGAGCTCTGAATCTGCAACAATATTTCCAAAACCGGGCTGTGTTCAGATCCACTGCTAAAATTTCCTCTAGTGAGTTAAATGGAACCCCCCACGAATCACTAAAGAGATTTAAAAAGCTATGGAACCGGATGGCTGGGAGCCACCAAGAAAGCTTGGAATAAGAATCGGATCCAAGATTCAAGTACAACAACTCTTCACCATGGCTTTCGCTCGTTTTAACCCCAGGTGAGATCGTAATAAAATTGGTAGTCTGAATCATGGTTGAGGACAATCGCAACCAGCCGACCAGCTAGACAACTTTGCACTTCAAAGAAAAGTGGGTCCCTTCGAATCAAGGAACATTGCCCCAAAACCTACCCTTTCACAGCGAGTCCGAGGAATCAGAACTCCAACCACTAAAAGGGTGTCCCCCGACTAGTATGGCGCTCCTAGACTCCGAGGGAGGATTCAACCCCCTCAAACTTCCCCGTTAAAAAAAAAAAAAAACGTCAGAGCCTTCAATTTGGGGTCTCAGTGGGGATGTGAAAGCAAAAGCGGTTGACCGCGTTGAAGGCTGATTGAACATCTCCGTATTCGACTCTTCTGGGGGCTGGTTTCCCATAAAACCAACACCATAATCAAGGACAGATCAAGCAACCTAGTCATACCCGGTTCAAATATGGGTTCATTTCAGCCTTGAAAACCAACCTCCGGTCCCAGCAAAGGGATTATCAACGGGACTGCTGTTCTAAGCCAATGGAAGGATGAGCCAAGGCTTGTGCGATGTCGAGGGCTAAAACCCCCAAGCTGAAAGCAAAACCAAAAACGAAAAAGTCTCATGACCTATGAAGGGCCTTGATTGGCCTTGTTGGTCACTAGGCCTGGCTGGGATTAGAGAAATGGCTGGCGGGGGCCTTAGTCACTCCACAAAATAGTGAGCGCATTCGGGGCCATGACTGGATCTGAGTGATCAACACTGGTCATGTTGACTCCGGATTAGTAAGCCCGTCCTACTAGGTGGTGTTCCCCTCCAAAAGTGACAAAAGGGGGCTCCCCCCTATGAATCAACCTGGGGTGTCTTAATCCGGGGTTCCCAATACCAAAATGAGAAGAACACAAAAAAACATGGAGCCCTCGCACACACACACACAAACACGCGCACACACACACACATCCACACACACACAGACATAAACATACATGAACCCATGCATCACCGAGGCAGCTCGGGGGCACGCGCAATGACATACGCACACACACACACACACACACACACACACAAACACACAAACACACAAACACACAAACACACAAACACACAAACACACAAACACACAAACACACAAACACACAAACACACAAACACACAAACACACAAACACACAAACACACAAACACACAAACACACAAACACACAAACACACAAACACACAAACACACAAACACACAAACACACAAACACACAAACACACAAACACACAAACACACAAACACACAAACACACAAACACACAAACACACAAACACACAAACACACAAACACACAAAGAAAGAAATCAGCGCCGTAGTGCATAAGGGTTTCCACTTCCCCCCACCAAAAAAGAGGTTGGGGGACGGGGGGTATAACACTGTACAAATATATGCTATGTATTGCAGTTTGCTTTGGGCTAGTTGTTGAGGGAAAATGTTCTGGGGGTCGGTTTATCCGTTACCCTCTACAAGAACCAAGGGTTCAAGTCCGAATCCAAACCAATCCAAACCACCAACAAAGGGCTACCGATTTTAGGCGTTGACAATTGAACCGAGGTTCACGCCACAAGACATGGGGCAACGGCCTGCGAGTGCTCGCGGGCTTCCTTGAGCAGTGCGAGTGCCTGCTGCCATTGGCCGCCCTGCACGTATGCGCCTCAATTCCAATGACGGAGATTCGAATTGCGGACCCCTTTTTGTTGGTAGCCCAGGGGAACTAAAAGGTTACCGACCACAAACTAAAAATGGCAGTTGTCCTTGGAATACATACTTCAGTGCATACTCTGTATATAACACAACCAAACAAATAAGTCAACAAAGGATCAGTCAATCAATACATACGTAATATAGAACCCACCAAAGGATCCAGCTCAAAGGACATGGTCTGCCATTCCCCCCCCCCCCCCCGCCAGGTTCCATGATCGTGGATGAAAGGGTGGCTTTGAGAACCCCCCCCCAAAGAAACAAAACTGTAGAAAGGAAACAATCCCAATTAGAAATCTTGGTAGCTCCTTAGCTCCCTCATTCAAAGAAAAGAGTGGCATCCCCAACACCCAACCCCCCCTGCCTCCCTGAAAAGCTGCCCCCAAACCACACCAGAGCCTTTCTGGGCTTATCGACCCCATAGCTTTCAGCTGTTGGGTGATAAGTGATAAGAACATGACGCCACAGAGTCATGGACATCCAAAAGGAGGTGACTATGCTTGACTTATCCAGGATAACCCCCCTCCCGGATAGCTGGCCACATTGTCTGACCATTATCAAAGTCACCCCCCCCCCCCCCAAGAAAAAAAACAACTACATAGCCCCGAACAAAGGCCAAAGGTGCTGATGCCAACATTGAAGGCCACCGCGTCGCACTTGCCAGCAGCCCGCAGCAAATCGAAGACTTGCAGCGACTGAAGGGCAGGGCCAGCTTTGCCGGGTTTAAAAAGGAGTCACTGGATTCCGCTTTAATCAAGGTGGCCTTTTACAACGACAATAGATGGCCCTGGACAATGAAGTGCCATCCGTCCCCTTGAAAGGGCCTGCGAAGGCAACGCCCATGCCGTAAGACGCAGTTTGTCGAAGAAGACAAGGCGTGACATCTCAACACTTCGGGTGCCTTTTGGTTGACCTCAGCAAGACACAGTCCCCATCTTGCCGGTCAGTGAATCAGGCCTCTTGGCTTGGGGCTGGGAATGGGAAGCCATGTCCGGGATGGTTCAGTTCAATTCGGGTGACTCAGTCCCTACCCATCCATCGCTCCGAAAGGCTCCGGGCCAACCCGAAAGTTGAAAGGCTCATCTTCCTTGTTCCGTCAAAAATCGCTACGTGCCCCAGACTGGAACCCTATGGAAACATGGACCAAAACCTGCGAGTCCATATCCTGGTGAGAACAAAAAACAAAACATCCACATCCTTGCGCCCTGGCCTTCTGCCAGTGGCCCAGTCGTAGCAGGGCGGTCATAAGCTGGGTGCAGGGTACAGCCTGGCATCCCCATGCACACTCAGACCTTCGGATTTTTTGGTCTTACCCTCGCACCCCCCCTCCCCCCTTCCCCCCGTATGATGGACACTTAGGTCTATTTTGCAACCTTCTTCCTTTAGAGTATTGTTTTTTCGGGTTCCAGGCTGCAAAATCAACTCTAAGTGTCCATGGCACCCCCCCCAAAACAAAACAAAAAAGCTTGCAAAGCAAAAGCTCGCCATGTGCTCAGCAGGCAAAAGTACAAGCCCGGTTTGTTGGTTGATTCCAATTGAGTGGGTGCCACATAAAAAGAGAACGGGCGCAATGAACTGGGCAGCCCCGCTCCGGATCTCTCCTGGCTTAGCAAGCTCTTAGCTCCACCAAAAAACCCGCCTGAACTCATCTGGCCACATTTCCCCAGTGAGAGTTCAAAGAAAAAAAACACCGCCACTCTCGCCCGAAACCGTCCAAGTCTCTCATGAGCCCAGTTCGCGAAGCCGGCGGAGCCGACGAGACTTGGCGACGTCCAAGTGGAGTTCTCTTTCTGGAGCCCCGCCCGGCTACGCATCGAATATGTTCGGGATTTTCTCCATCATATTGACCGAGTTCAAAAAGACGCGCTGCGAGAATTGTTCAAGGGATCCAGCTCCATGGTGGACACAAAGCCCCAACCGAAATGCTGTCCACCATTTGGGGTCCCTTAAATCCATGCCATGACATGGGTTGTCTCAACACTGGGCTCCCCCAAAACTGGGGCCTCCATCACAGAGGTTAGTATAAGGGTACCCTTTTCTCTATAGTCTATTTTAGTAGGGGAACCCTCCCCAAAAAAAGGGTAAAGGGCACCTAGCTGGGGGACCTAGAAGATGCAAACTCAAATCAAGCCTTTTGGGCTGGTGGAATCTCAACAGAACCTTCCAAGGTCTCATTGGCCCTTCTTTCCCGGTAGCCTTCACAGGTCATGGCTACTGCTAGGACCCACCAAGTACTGGGTAGGACATAATTCTGGAGACCCCCGGCGTCTTCGCCTCGGGCTCGAGGCGTTGCAAGGCTTCGCGCCATGCTGCTGTCCGGGCCAACTCTTTCAGCGAGCCGCCCTGAGGCTTGCTCGACGTTGGAAGGGGAACAAACAAATTGGTTAAAGCGCGGAGTTCTCACTGCTTCTACAGGCTAACATCTGTCAGGTGAGTTTGGTAGTTTTAGCAGCAGAAGTGGTTGGATTGCAACCACTAAACCACAATAAGCAAACATGCAAGAAATGTTTCCCAACAACAACCATGGAGGGTTTCCGACCCGCGACAAAGGGGAGGCTGGTGGGAGACATCCAAACATCCACCTGAGATACCTCCATTTGCGTCTTGTTTCTTTTTTTTTCGTCTGGAAAAATGCACATATGTCTAATAGTGATGGGTTCCCTTTAAAGCCAACAGGAGAAAATAGAACAGTTTCTGAAGCAAACGGAAGGATGTGCAAGATCCTTGAAGCTGGAATTTGGGTGATATGTATAAATTGGCCAGAATGTATCCTAGGGACCTATCATGGAAGGTGTGTTTGCTCACAGCCCAAGTGAGGAACGCAAGCCCGCAAAACATGGGGCTGCATCGGCTTTTCCAAACGGAAAGTAGTCTGCTTTGCAGGGTGGAAGGGTCAAGCTTCGCTGTGGGTCACAATGCTGATCAGGAACTTTCTGAGGGCGAAAACCATGGCTTGCAACCAGTCCTTGGTTCCCTTTGAAAGAAAACCGACAAGAGGTTGCTAAAGCGACATTGCTTTAAACATGTTTAAACAAGGGGTTGGACCATGGTTGGACCCACCCTGGCCACCACCGTGACAGCATTCTTCAAACGGCTTGAATCATCATCAACGCCTGATACCAAAAAAAGCCTACCCAAAACCATGTAAGTGATTCAAAGGGCTTTCACTATCGGCATCCCCTCACCTTCATCCACTCAGGCTTTCAGTGTGGCACCAAGGTTTCGCTTGGCAGGCTGGGACGCTCCTAAAAGATCAGCCCTTGAAAACGTCAATCCCTGAGGGGGTTCTACACCCAATTGAGAAAAACAATATACATACATATTTATATACATATACAAATATAATATATGCACATATATATATATATACATATTTCTACTTACGAGTGCTAATTTACTTGAGTATATAAGAGCCACAAGGGGCTGCGCCTGCGGCGCTGTCCGCATGGGTCCGCATGGCCAAGGTGTTCCGCGCCATGGCGCGGAGCCGTTTGATGCGCCACGGGCCTTGCGCTGAGATGCGGCCTGGACCACTTGGTGTGGGGGTCGTGCCATGATATCCTGTGCTACTGTGGACGGACGAAATCCATTTCGCACCACTTTTGAAACCATCAGGAATTTGTTCTCTTTTACCAACTTTTTTGGTTGGGAGGGTTGCCCCTACCAAAATAGCCTACAGAAAAAAAGAACATCGGGTACCAACTTATTCTAACCTCTCAATTTTGGAGGACCTACTGTGGATGGATGAAATCCTGCACCACCAAACAAACCCTGAAATGATGATTCACCTGTAAATACCCACAAACAATGGTTTCCGGGGACCTAGTACAAAATACGGGACGGGGCTGATAAAGTGGAACTCCCGCGGGTGATAGCAGGCTGGTTGGGAATAATGTTTGCCGGTGGCAAACTAGGAATCGCCTTGAAAATGGCCCAATGGCCGGCCGCTTCTTTTCCCGAAGCGGGGCCGACTATAGAACACAAGGCCGCGTCCAAAAATGACGAACCCGAGCCAAGTCTCTGTTGAAAATTTGGGCCCAATCCCGCGGAAACCAAAAAGCAAGCTACGTGGGATTGGTCCAACCAGCCTTGCAAAACTCCGGGTCCCAGCTCCGAGTGAGTTCGGAGTCCAGACCAGATTGATCGCCCCTTTCGGAACCTGGAACACAAAGGCGATCGCTTCTTGGATTTCCTTGACCAGAATGGCGGAGTTCCACTGGCAGGTTCTATTCAAACTGGAGGTCCAAAAGTTGAGGGGCGCCTGTAATTCTCATTTGCCCAAAGGACAAGGAAATAGGGGTGCCTTCCCCATTCTTACCCCTTAAAACTCCAAGGATTGGGGAAGTTAACCTTCTACAGACATATAGCCCATGTTACCCCCAAAAAGTTGAAAAGTTGTGTTTTTAAGAGGTAAGCATTCTTTCCAGGAATCCGAATCTTTCTAGATAACCTTCAGAGACCGATGGGAAAACGCCGGATTTTTGAAAAGAACGATGGTTGAAACGAATGGACAAGGAATCAACCCCTGGAACAAGGAAAGCCATCACGTTGGGGGGGGTCCCCCCTACCAAACAAAAGGGACCGACCCATTCCAAGAAGGCCCGACATGCGCAACTCACCAGCGAAACGGATCCGAAAGCAAAGGCTTTCGAAACGGACCGTATGGTTGCACACACTTTCTTGCGGCCCTACCCCCAAATAAAATGGAAACCCAGAACTAAAGAGCTAAACAGCACGCAAAGAACATTGAAGGGTATTACCCGCCACATGAGAAGTCGCTAACATGTTGCTCCTATGCCTGAAATCTGTTTCCAAGTACCCCACGGTATACAAAGGATATGCATTGTTGCCTGCAGGCGCCAGTGCCTCAAAACCGAGTCTACCGGTTTGTGTTAATATCACATTGTGTCTTCATGAGTACTCGCACCAGCCCAGTATGATTTAGGCCCTCGCACTACTTCCGGCGTGAAACAAAAGAAGCAACGCGCGTTTTGATCTCACCCCGCAGCCACCGCAGTCACGCGGGCGAGAAACCTGAGCGCACGACGAACGGTCATACAAAAAAGTATAGAACAGGTTAAACAACCGGGAAGGGTCACAAATGAACCCTGTACACAGCGCGCTTTTTCCTTGAGCCATACGCAGTCGTAATGATGAGACTGCACAAGTGAGACATTCATGCATTGGGGTTTTACATGGTTGATAAATACATCACGTTGCAAACTACACCCCCCGTGCCCGAATGTGAAACAGGAGGACAAATGAAAGGGATGAAACAACCAAAGAAACCCGATAGGCATGAAGTCCTTTTGCAGCACACGAGCACTTGGATGCGAGCAATCGGCAGTTAAGGTCTTCCGCCTCCACTGACCGTCGCTCTCGCGAGGCGTGCTCATGCACTGTACATTGATCCTCGGCCAACATGATTGAGAAGTATAATGAATATTGAATTTGAAATGTAAATGGATGTCAGCCGAAGATTGAAAAGATTGTCGAAGAGATCGCTCATTCATCGCCAATCCCAATTGCGGGAGCTCTTCCACGGGCGCTGATCATCAGACCACCATGAGTCCCAGGATTGGCCCCAGCTTCCCCAGTACGACTGGCTCCATTGACGATCTTGCCATTGGCCACCGGTCTCCCGGAGCTGCGGAATGGGCTTGCGCGTCACACCGACAACTGCAGGGAGCGGAGTGGCTCGTCCAGGGATCTCGATGTTGGGGATCTCCTCTTCGACGAAGCAGAGCAACTCAACCAATACCATTTCGGGGTCTCCCACAGACGAGAAATCCCGGGTCCAGCCCATCACGGGGTAGCGGTTGCTCTTGTCAAGGCTTCCATACAGTGCAGCAAATTGTTCTGGTTCCAGAAATCTGCCACCATGCACAACATAGACGTCCTTCGGATCGACCTCCTGCACGTCCTCCGTTGGCGGCACCAGCGTTAGCCGTGCGTGATATTTCGGCACAGCAACGCTTCCTTGGATCATTTCCTTGGTTCTCACGAAACTCGGAATAATGCATCGTGCCACTTTCTCGATGAACTCGAGGGCGGACGGCGTCAGGTCTCCCCGCGCGGCAGTGTAGGCGTAGAAGGGGTCATTGATCAGCCTCTCGTACAGCGTGGTGTACTCCTTGTTGCGAAGAACTGCTTTCTTGGCGATGTCCTTCATGATGCCGAGGCCCCCTCTTGCGCTTCGATCCCCCCGCGCATCCTTCCGCTGCGTCAATATCTGAGTCTCAACCTGGTCCATGGAAAGCGGCACGCCCAAGGTGTTGGCCATCTCCTGCAAACGGACGACCCTGGCTATCTTCTTGATATCGGGCATGCGTTCCATCAGCTGGTCACACTGGAAACAGTTGATGGTTGATTTTGCAGCGAGGGCACTCAACGTCGGGGATGTGCATGACCTCCGCGAAGCGCCAGTTTGTCGACTTCTTCTTGTTGGGATCCAAGTCCTGCCACAAACCACTCCGGCCTCGGGTTTCCCCGGGCTGCTGCGTCACAGCTCGGGCCCAGTTCCTGTAGAGGCCATAGCGGGCAGTCTCGAATTCAAGCGCGACCTGCTCTTCTTTCGGGAGGTTCTCGTCGTAGACGTCCTTGACCTTCGTCACATTGCCAATGCGGTGGGGCCGCGTCAGGTCGCGGCACGCTGTCGGAGCCCACTGTTTGTAATAGAGCTTGCATTCCTTCTCGGCGTTCGCCATGAACGATTCCAGCACTGGGGTCCCGACAACGCCCTTCTGGGTCTCTTCCCGATACTTCTTGATGCTGTCCTGGTAATTCCGTCTGACGCTGACGTACATCCGGTTGGACCAGATAAACTTTGCACATTCAGCGTCATAGGCGTAAATGAGGACCTTGTTCGTGATCCAATCCTCCGTCACCAGGGCTTCCCCGTCTCCGGGTGCGTACAGCCGACATCCCAATTGGATCAACATCTCCACATCGACGGCGATGTTGATGGGTCGGTCAGCACGCGCACCCCCCGCCTTCCGGCCATGCCTGTCCCAAGGAGGCACTACCGTTAGGTAGGCGTGACCACGCGAGGTTTGCCGGTCTCCCATTCCGCCCGGAAAGATGCCCATGTAGATGATGTCAAAGAAATTCTGCATGTTGCACGTGTGGTAGGCGATTTTGGGCAGCGCCTTTCGGCGTGCGTCCGAGAAATCTTTGCAGAAGCCCGGTCGCACACCCTTCTTTGCGTGCTCGATGGTGTAATTGACATCCATTGCAATGGGATCTCCAGGAATATTGTCAAAGCCGCTGGCCTCGGTCACCCAATCGTTGTGGCCGGTGAACGCGCGAATGCGTAGTGGCATGAAACTGAGCCCGTTCCATTGCTGCCCGGCCGGCGCGTACTCGACATAGACCTCGAACCGATTCGATGTGGACGTGGCCTGAAGAAGAGTGTATTGGGAGCAGTTCCAGTCATATCGGCGTTGGATCCATTTGGCAACGGCTGCGTAGTCGAAGGAGTTGTCCTTGAGATTGATCTCAGGGATGGATCGCGTCGCATGTTCGTGGGCATGTCCGCGAACCAAATACGACACCTTCTTGCTCAAGAATGTCCTTCTGCCATAGTTCTGGATCTGGGGAATCTTGATTCCTGAGCACTTGATCCACTCCCTCTTGGGTTCAGCAGCCTGGCCACGGGTCTCCCCGGGCTTTCCAGCAGCTTTGGAAACTGCCTTCGCCTTGGGGATGTTCTCCGGGCCACGGATCTCTCCGGGCTGAGTCTTGCTGGTCCCAGCCACGGACGCCTGATCGCTGGATGAGGCAGCAGGCATTGGCATTGCCTTTGATTTCACCTTTGGTGTCGCAGCACTGAGAGCTGCAGTCATTTTGTTATGACTTTTCCGCTTGGAAGTGAGGATAAGCTTGATTTGGCCGTCCTCACCAATATCGTTTGGATCCACTGCGGCAACCTCAACGGCCTGGCCTTTCGGCCGGCTGACCTTAGGCTGAGAGCCAGGAACCAGGTCGAAGCTGATCAGGTCCTCCTCATCCGAAGAAGAAGACCAATCAATCACATCGTTGAGGCCGCTGACGGTCGCCGCGTGAATGTCGGGTTGCATCATCTGCAAGATCTTTGCTTCCTCCTTGACGGTGTCAAGGGGGTAGAGGGGGTTTGCCTCCTTTTCAGTCTCCAGGAAAACCTCGCGCTTCGGCTCTTGCGCAGCGATTTCATTGATCGCCTCCAGCTCCCTCTCGCGGACCTCATTGTCGAAAGGGTCCTCAGGGTTCTTTGCAATTGCCGGACCGCCAGTTTCCTGGGGTGTGGCGCCAACGATAGGGATGGATGTGTCAATGTTCATGTATTCCCTTTCGAGGCGGTACCAATTCATCGCCCCTTCGAAGCGGTTGATTTGGCCAATGCAGTACCCGAGCTTCGCGGCGGCCACATAGTAATTGATGTAGTGTTTTCTGTTGCGCTCGGTGTCATCGGTGTGGATGCGGTCTGCCCGGGACGTGTTGGATATGAGAGTCTGGGGGTCGAGGACGGTGATTCCCGCTGA